GAAAGAGAACTATCAAAGAAATAAGTACTGAATATATGATAAAGTTTCATTGCGATCTTCGTTGATTTTACATGACAAGTTCTAAGAGATTCAAGTTCCAAGATAGGCTCATGATTATTGGAGGAAGTTAGAGTAAAATTTTTACAAACCTGTACACTAGAATGCATATGAAACTCTCTTAGGTAATATTTCATGAACTGTATAAAAGTTTAACATAAACCGTAGGACGCCCACTTCTTTTTTCTCATGCATCCATCGTATTGTTTTCTTCGTAGGTGCTATTACTATTCCTTTGCATTATGCCATTATCAAGTAGTCGCCTATCTTTCATTTTTCGTGGCTAGTAGATTATGTTTTTTTGAATTCACCATCGATGTAATCACAATTGGCTTCTTACTAAAAAGTGACTGTCTCATATATGGTCTTACTCAGTCAATCTCATATTCCAATTCTGATTCGTTTGTGTAGCTTCAGTCAGATATCAGAAAAATGTGATTTGTTCTTAGCTAGCCTTTGTATCTTTATAATGCTGATGATCTGTTATTTTTTGAGCTCTATGTTTTACTAGGAACGGGATTTGTTGATTGTTTTCTTACAATCATTTTGTTGAAGGTACTTTACATCTAATTTGTTACCATGCACTAATTCTTGGTAATAAAATTGAAACACCATGAAGTATTAGCTAACTTATCATATTGTATAGTTATTGTTGTTGATAAACTTTGGATGCGCCCGCTGATCAATACCTATCTCCACCACGATATCTGTGTTGTTAATAAACTCTAGTGGAACCGCAATTTTCATGAGTCTTGTAACCAATTTTGCGTAAAATATACACGTTGGATAATTTCGAAAATTGAAGTACTATACAAAAAGTTTCTTAGTAAAAATTAATCTATGTTAACAGAATAGATACGAAGTACGATTACGAAAGTGATTATGATGATATACTTGACAATTTTCGTTCCTAATAAAACATAGAACTTGAATACTAACAAAACGTTAGTATTAGATATGTATTATGACTAAAAAGGATCTCCTTTTTCTGATATATAACTGAAGCTACACAAACGACTAGAAATTGAAATATGAGGTTTACTGAGCACGTCAATACATTCAAATTTAGCCCACTATGGGTAAAACTTCGATAGATGTAGCTTACAAAGGAACATTTCCAGGTGTTCGAACGTTTTTCAGTCGATGTTTCGCGCATCTTGTAGCCCTTAGTGAGCTGTGTCTATGGTGAAAATATTTCGGGTTTCTGGTGTGTTCCTGATGAGATATCGAGTCTTTTTAATGAATTATCTCTATAGCACCCCAGATTTTGTAGCAAAGCTATAGTTTTGAATTTTGACCTGAAACTTTGTCCACATAAAGGCCTCAACTAGACTAGCCTGTATATACTATCTATGAAAAAGGGTCTGTGTACTGTGATAGTTCTATATATCGGAGAGACTTTGTCCAAAACTTCTGAAATTTTTTATACAAGCTAGTCTAGCTGAGACCTTTATGTGAGCAAAGTTTCAAATCAAAAATCAAAACTATAGCTTCGCTACAAAAGTGGGGTGCTGTAGAGAAAATCAGCTAAAAACTCCATATCTCGTCAGGAACACGTTAGAAACCCGAACTTTTTTACCATAGACACAGCTCACTAAGGGCTACAAGATGCGCGAAACGCCGACTAAAAAGCGTTCCAACATACCTGAGAATATTCCCATGTTAGTACTTTTTTTTACAAACAGAGGAAACATTCTCAACCAATTAGCATAAACAGTGAGGCGTTCTATTGGTAAAGCGTGCGTTAAAACTTGAATCATCAAATATAGTAAGATGAAGCAATTTTCAAGTTACGGATTGTCTAATGTGACGCAGCGTGTTATGAAGATCCTACGCACAAATGTCATATCAAAGTATCTATTTGGCATCTAAAAGAAGCGCTGAGCAGATTTGAAAAATGGAATTTTATTCAAGCTCATGCATTTATATTGATAATCAACATGGCAATTCTTTTAATGGAAGGGTTGAATGCCAAAAGAATGTTCTTCACTTCAGATATTTTGAAAACGAACGCGAGTCACATGAGGAAGGGTCACAGTCTGATTTGCATCGTTTCAAAGAGTCCATAGAGCACGCCAAACTCTACTGTACCAAAGAATGAGAACGCACAGGACGCATCCTGCGCGAATCTCTTCTGGAATTATCCTTCGTGTCCTCTATGGTCGATGGTGAAAAAATATCATTCTTTTTACTTTGTGTGACTATGCTGCAAGTTTTCGTGAATTGGATTGCGGAATTCGATAGTGCTTGTCAAAATCTACACGAAACGAATGAGAACAATTGGAACGCATATTTGGAAAACACTGCTGGAATTACTCCTCGTGTTCTCTATGGCCTTGGGTGAAAAGGCAGTATTTTTCAAATTGTGAGAGTATGATTCAAGCTATCGTGAATCTGATAGCATCGTTCGATAGAGCAAGTCAAAATCTACTTGGAATAAGAATGAGAACACCTGTAACGCATCCTGGGCGAATCGCCGCTGGAGATACTCGAATCGACTACTAACTGTACTTACGTTCGTATTGCTCGAAACAGATCTGCTCATTCTAATCTAGTAATGAATCAAGTTCTATTGAACACAGCTCTAGAATGTTGTGCTTGGAATAATCCAACAACAAGAGGACTAGGAATGTTGGTCAATGGATACTTGCATACCTAACGGAAGTTCGGAAAAAGAAGTGGGATCGATAATTGATGAAAACGACCTCTAGAGAAATATGATTTCTGTTATGTCAAGCTGTTACTCAAGGTGTCCGAAAGAGATCCGTGCTAGGATAAGACCTATAACACTGGTTTGTACTTTGTTTCGGTGGATTGAAATAACCAATGGCTATCGTACGTACACTATATCTCCTATTAAGGATGACTAGCTCCTTTTATTTTTCAATTCCAAGACAGACGAGACTAGTATTTATATAAATCCATAGCACTTTTCAACGGGTTCAAAATAATATATAAATATCATGAAAGAAACACTGTTCGATATGACCTTACATGCAGCACATGGCTCTGATACAAGTTCATTTCGAGTGCTGTCCAGATTGTTCACTGAAATCGTGCGCCAACGTCGCCTAATATTATCACGCGCCAGGCTAGTTTTCATATCGTTGTATAGCGCTTTTTAAGTGCTATAAAACAGTGTCGAAACATTCATGAAAAAAGGTTGTCCGCTTTAAGAAATCCGAAAGAGACCATTCTAGAGACATGATTATATGAATTTTTGCCTAGTATGTAGTAGGTTTCATTCAGAACAACAGGGTGTGGGGTGTGAGTGTGGATATGAGTGTCCATTAGGCAAAGATAAACACTCACTCACACATCCACACCCACACCGACATCCACACACCCACACCCACATCCACACCCAATGTTGAAAAATATTTTTAAACTATGGATAGATCTTGACCTATTATATTAAAAATTATATCTATATTTATTGAAACGATATGAAAATTATTTTATTTTTCATTTCTTTATTGTACATTTTGCTCATATAAACAAAGAGTAAATGTACATCGTGTTTAAGATTTTTATTATAGAAACACTGATTGAGAAATTGAAATTTCAGAAGAACTTTATTTTTTGCTTCAGTCATTTTTTAAATTGATATAACAATTTCATAACCTGTTTCTAAATGAGTATGTATATTTTCAGATTCAACTGAACAAAATCTCCATCAAAATAAGCCTGACTCGAATACACGTTCAAGAGTTTGTTGACTTTTATGTTTTAATTTCTCTAGATTTATGTTATAGTATTGCAAACCGATGGTTGGTTACAATGCAAGAAATAAAGATTTTATCAACTTAGCGTTTTTCTGTGGAATATGTAGCCTGATGTTACGAGATCCTGTTCAACTTATATGCGGTCATCGCCAATGTAAATCATGTATTGAGTCAAAAGAAGAGTAAAAATATCAGTTTAAGTTATGTTTATGATTTAAATTGTCTTTTGTATTTTCAAGGGAAACAATAAAATGCCCAGAATGTCAGGAAGACACGCAGAAGAAAGATGTTAGAATATGAAGTTTATTTTATTTCAGGTAATATATTTTATGTTTTAGGTGCTGTTTGACCGCGGTTTTAAGAATGAAATGCAATCACTGACTATCGAATGCTCGCTATGTGATTGGAAAGGTCAATTCAAAATCTATGAGGTATAACAAGTGACTTGTATCTATATTTGTGAAACATAATATAATACCTGTTTTTACAATGAAATGAATATACGATAACTATTAACAGAACGTTGCTAAACTATTTTTATGAGATGCATACTGAATATATTTAGAATAGTTTGAGTAATAGATTGTGCCTTAACTAAAGTTTAAAACTAAAAAAGTCAATAAAAATGTATTTCGTTTATGTTTCAAGTGCAGAGAAAGGTGTTGCAATTATTCAAATAATTACGAAATTTTATATCAGCATTTATATAAAAACATTTTACGATCGATAGAGATTTAATAATTTTCATCGAGGAATCGATCAGAAATTTTCATTTGATTAGAGCTTACACTAAGTTCGTTGAACAATGATATTTCAACGGATTATAGCTAGATTTATTAGGCAGCTCGTTGATAATTTCATGCTCTTGATGAACAAAAGTTCTATTTTCTAAAGTCTGGATGTACCAGTTAATAAGAAAAGTTTTTTTTATTAAACTAAATTTCATTTATGTAAAATAATCGATCAAGTTGCCTTAGAATGATCAAGTATTAAAGAGTTTTACACAGAATTTGTTATAGTTAATGTGGTGCGAAGCAGAGCATTTCTGTGGTCGCTCGTCTACGCATTCAGCCTGCATACTATACGTGTTTTTCACCATAATCAAAATTTTAATTTGTATCACGATAATCTAGAGAACGAGTAGTCGTTAAAAACTCGTTTGAACTTTGCGGACATATCAATGTCTTGAGATGATTCCGACGTTTTTAAATCTTCAATATGAGTTTTTATTCATCTTCAGTAAGTTTTACAAAACGGCAATTTTGACGATTAGATCTCCACCATTGACTCAAGGTAATTAAAAGTGTCGGACTGCTCTCCAACCAACTAAACCGCCATCTGCTATGAGAAGGATCGACTCGAGATGAAATCGTTTATCGTTATTGTGTTAATTCAAACCCTATGGCCGAAATTTGAGGTTGCTTTGCTTCGCGTTTATGTGATCCTTTGCGAGTTTTTTTACCAACTAGACATAAGCATTCGAAGCTATCAATTTGGGTTGCAAGGATCTCGAAAACGAAAAGTTAGAAAATATTGGTTCAAACTATAGAATAAAATTTTATGATTGAATCTGTACCATTCGTTTTTCCAATCTTCAACAGGACATTCGATTTTCTTATAGAAAACCACTTACAAAGCTGAATTTTTGTGAACTATTTTTTTCTAGCTTCATGATAATTAAAATGATGATAATACCTGGGTGTGGGTGTGAGTATTCTCTTCCCCCATCCTGATAGTCACACCCACACCCACCCATTCGTAGTTTCTGCACCGAATTGTGTAATTGAGTGAACCTCGAATATCATCTAGTAGTTTACAAATCTTCTTTCATTCCCATGCATATAGGTGATTACTTATCATACAATCAAGTCAAAAACATTTATATAGATTCAAAAATCTATACGAAAATTATAAATTTTCTTGGCTTCGAAAAACCTTAAGCATTATATTAGAATGATGATTTACAAGAAGGTCATCGTTTTTTGACAGATTCATAGTGCAAGAACATTTTATAATAACGAATAGTATTGTAACTTTTCAATGTATTGATACCATTAAAAAAAATTCAATTGATATAGTTTCGGAAAATATAGCTTTTAGATTTGATTATTTATCAATAATTTTATGACTATTATATATATTTTTTTCTAAGGATCATCTTCAACAATCTCATCCGAATCCATCATGTGAATATTGTGGGAAGAAATGTAATTCAACAAATGATCTTGATTTTCATAAGTTAAATGAGTGTAATAAAATTACTATACCTTGTGCTCTCAAAGATTATGGATGTTCAACATCTGTAAGTGATAAAAAATAAGTTTTGATGAAAATGATTTTTTTTTCATCTCTTACTTATTATTATTTTGTTTTCTAGGTTGTTCGTGCTGAAATAGTCGACCATTATAAAACTGAACGACATCAGAGTTCAATAATCACTTTTATACGTAAGATTTTATCAAAATCAATAAATGATCAACATGGCAGAGGCTCGACAATGGATGCTGATACACTTCATCATACTACTATGATGTCATCCGATAACGTAAATAAGCAATTACAGGAAGTGTGTCAAACAGTTGACATTCTCGCTGATGGAGTTTCAACATTGAATGAAGATACACAACGATTGAGTCATGAATCACTTCATATAAATAATGCTTTTGATGCATTGATCCGTGAATTTGCGATATTGAAATTAAGTATTCAAGAACAAAGCACATATTTAGATGGACTTAAACCTAATCAGGATATTCTTAATGAAGATGTTGCGTCATCAAAACAAAAACTTGACGATATACAATTTGTTTCTTATGATGGTACATTATTATGGAAAATAACAAATTTTAACAGTAGAATGGGTGAGAATTTTTTAACAAGATTTATTCTCATAAAAGATAATCCATAGAGAATATTCAGGCGAAGGGATGGAAAGATGAGTCAAACATTGCTGAACGTCCAGAATAGAATCCTGGCGGACAAACTTTTTCGTGTCTCAAGTTTCCTTGACTGAAAGAAGGCTGACACTGCTAAGTCCAATAGCAGGCTTTTTACTGTTCACTCGCTTAGTTACTATGAAAAATTCTTCTTCTTCTCGATGAATTAGTCACGACTCAAGCAGTCAGTCGTTCTCTATATCTAACTATTATTTCGAAATGAGAAAAGGTTTGCCGAGATCGTAAGAAAGTGATGAATGCACAAACTAAAATCCGTTTGTTTTGAAAACTTTATTCCGTTCGCAGGCTATAAATATGTGGAAAAGGGTAATTAACAGCTAACAGTTTCCTTATATGATCCATATTCCGTTCGCAAATCTATTTTCGAAGCAGTGCATAATACCTCTATGAAAGTTTCTGAAGTAATTTCGCTAATGAAAGTGCATTATTTAAAAAAATTTCACAGCTCCTAACATTACCGTTCAGAAGGCATAGTGCAAAATAGAGCTTTTACGCGCACACATATTTTTTCAATACATTTTAAGCTATAGCGCTCATGCTTCTCCCGTTTCAAAAAGAACTCCTTATTGCTTCAGATGAGGGACAGGCTTTTTTTAACTTGAAGTATTTTTCATTTGTGGGGCTCTAAAAATTCTGAAATTCCAAAATCTTAGACAATATTTTCTAGAAAACCTATTATTACTTTGATACTGAAGATCGAATACAAAAAGCCGCAGTTCATTAGAACGAACACTATCGAAACTAAATATGTTCAGAATTCGTTAATTTACGAAAAAATCAATGTCAAGAAAAGCACGCGAACATTTTTTTTTCTAATATTTACCAGAACTTTCTGACAGGAATATCGAATATGGTTATATCACGTACCAATTAAAAATTCATCTACAGTCTTATCGAATGACATTCTAGCTACACGTTAGGCTGCAATCAGGAGTTGTAACTACAATAGCGCATATGCTTTTCCTAAGAATTTGGTATTGGTCTTTGCGCTGGAGAGTTGTAGAAATCCATCATGATTTTTAAAGAAATCTTTTGAAATTAGAAGTCATTCTTATGAATTTTCAAACTAGACTTTTTAGAGGTCATGGCTATATGTTTATTACAAAAGGTGTTTTTTTTAGAAAAATTAATTTTTTGGACGGGGGAAAGAGGTTTTAATATAAAAAAAGAAATAGTATATTTGAACAAGCAGGTTCTTGTTAAAAATTCTTTTTTATTCTGGACAACCAGGAGGGAAAGGGTCAAACGATGCAATTTTCTCCTGGCCGTCCTCTATGAATGGTCTCTTAATGAATACGTTTATATTCTAGCTGATGCACAATCCGAGCGACAAACCTCGATCTATTCACCATCATTTTATTCATCACCTACTGGGTATAAAATGAGAGGCCGCCTATATTTAAACGGCGATGGCAATGCTCGTCGTACGCATATGTCACTCTTTTTTGTGCTCATGCGAAGTGAATACGATGCCATTCTTAAATTTCCTTTCAATTACAAGGTAACATTTTGTTTATACGATCAAACTACAGCACAACGACATATTATTGATTCATTTCGACCGGACATCAAATCAAATAGTTTTCAACGTCCAAGATCTGAAATGAATATTGCAAGTGGTATTCCAAAGTTTTGCTCTTTGTCAACAATTCAACAAGAAGGAAATACTTATGTTCGAGATGATACAATGTTCATCAAAATTATGGTTGATTTTGTTGATACGCCAAAAACATTATTGCCATTTGCATTAAATATTAATCCAGGATTTCCAGTGAGTATTCAACAAGCAATGATTAAACAGGAAGCAGAAAAACGGGCTCAACAAACTTCCACTCCACCGGCTACTTAAATTCATGGCAGAGCATACTGAGTGTTGATATCAAGTAATGAATAAATAGCTTTTCGTTACACCACCACTATGAGGTAGTCTTTCTAACGATACATGTTATTTATAAATTATATTCATAAGAATAAAACAAAAACAAAAAAACATAAATAGTTGCTTTTTTAGTATCATGTTCAAGAAATTATCGTTTCTATATGGGTGTGGGTAGTAGGTGGATGTGTCGATGTGAGTGGGTATGGGTGTGCAGGTGTGAGTGGATGTGAGTGTGGGTGTGGGTGGGTGTGGGTGGGGTGGTATGGGTGTGGATGTTGGTGTGATAGCGTGCTGGTATTAGTGAAATGAAGATCCACACCCACACCCTCAACTCGACAGCAAAGGCAAAGAATATTTGATTCAGTTTCTCTATGATCTAGAATTGATTAGAGTTGATAAAGATCCGATTGATTTGAGAGGTCTCGAAATGAACAACATCGATCTGAGCGGTCCAGTAACTGGCGACGTACAAGCGATCGATATGAAAGGAATTTCACTGGTTGCCGTGTCGTTGATCAATGTCTCATTTGCTGGACGTAACTTGGCTGGTTCAGACTTCACTTTGAGTAACTTGCGCGGAGCCAACTTTTACTATTCTCAAATGCATGATGTTTCGCTAAGTGGAGCTGATTTAAGAGATACAAGCTTCACGTTGACACTGGTAACAAATACCGACTATTCATTCAGTGATTTGAGAGGATCAAATATTCTTGACAAATAGTTACACGAAGCATTTTCGATATTCAGCGCCAAACTACCGAATAACACTTCAGGGCGCAACAAAAATTTTGCGCATAACGGCGATGCTGAACAAGAGATGAACTGCTCGACTGATCATATTCAACCGACTGTCTCTGGTGGCTGGCACAGCATTCCGAACAACAGCGTCGGCATCATGAAAATCGATTCATCATTGGTTGAGTCTAGAGCCGGTCGACTGATTGAGTTTTTCGTCTTATTGAAACAAATAATCTCAATGAGTTTTTTCTTTAAAGAAACACAATACCTCCGGAGGATTTACCAGTTTACGGAAACTTAATATGGAACACGGGAAAATGTTCGTTTGTCATTGATGACATTGAAAATCCTATATCGCTGCTGCAGAATTTCACTGTGCACAGACGTTGTAATAACGGTGATAATGGTTGCCTATCGTGGGTTCTGACGGTATTTTGTGGTTATGTCGAAAATCAAACGACTATTGACGTTCATTTGTTCGAACTCGACCAACTAAATCGAACTTTGAAGAAATACACTTACCGTGAGTCCATCTTATTTGAAAACGTTCGACTAATCATTTGCTTCTTTCTAGACATCGATCATGAACGAAGTTTCAGATTGATTTCGATTTCGTTCAACTCGCAGGCCACTTATGGCATGTTGAAAATCGATTTTCGAAAGAAAATTGAGAGCCATCAACAAAAAAGATCCACATCACCAATAGCATTCTGTGATAACATCTACCTTTCGTTAGAAGCAACCTCAGTTGCTACTTTATCAATACAGATATGATTCATTTTTCTATTCTTTATTTTAATTTCGTTTCAATGAGAAAGAAAAACAAAAACTTTGAATTCGGTTGAGTAAGTCTTAGAAGTATTGCTCGCTCGTTCCCATTCCAGAGATCATCCCATGACCATAGAAGATTGCTCTCAACAGATTTCTTCGAGGGTGTGTGGCAGTGTGAGGATATGGGTGGATGCGTGGATGAGGGTGTGGGTGTGAAAGCTCCTCTGGTTTAAAACAACACCGACATGCACACCCCAAGCGCATGAAATTTTAACTAAACTTGACAGGGGTGTTAGTGTGGGTGAGTGTGTATGTGGGTGCGTGAGTGAATGTGTAGGCGGGTGTGTGGGTATGGGTATGAGTTTGGGATTGATATATAGATGAAACATCAACACCCACACCCTATACATTAACATCAACTGATACTTTTATATATATTTATATTTATATTAATTTTAACATATTACTGACGCTTGTCCCATGAAATCTATATCACAGTGACACTAAATGTTTAACAACATCAAGTGGCAGCTTATAATGTATCTGTCTTGTAACATTTATAAAGTTTTTTTGATAATATTTCTAGCCATATTCTTTTGATATCTTTCTTGTTCAAAAATGACTTTTATTTATTTAAAAGATACGACTTAGATTTATCGCAATAATCTCTTTTTTTCATATTACAACATGTATAGTAGTACAAGATAATACTGTCACGTGTATCTATGCAGTACACTTTGCAAGGTCTATTTGTGAGTATCCTATCGAAAACTGCTCATGTCATGGTCTAAACAAAATGTTTATGCGCATCAATTGAAACATTTAATATAGGTTTTTTGTCGTCGAAGAAAAACCTTCAAAAGTTAATTTGAAGAAAATAACTTCCTATCTGTTATTATACGATGAATCTGAACAATATACACAACTGTTGAGTTAAACTAATAATAATAAGTACAACATTTTAACGTGTTATTGCATGATTCTTTAACTAAAATTCGTTTAGAAAGGTTCAATGAGAGTGCTAATAGTAATATCTATTATACTATTTTCTAGTTTCGATAGTTAGTTCTAACCATGATGTTATATTGTCTTTCCATTGATGATATATCCTAGATTGTAATTTACCACTCGGTAGTTGTTGGACGGGATGAAGTTTTATTTGAATCATCACGTTTCACATCTTTCAATCTTCCTAAACATTGATAAAAAGAAAAAAATTATCGATTGAAATTTTTCACTACACATTTGTAGTTTGAAATTGTAAGTATCATATTGCAGTTTCAAACAAATTTCTTCAAGACAAAAACGAACAGATGATTGCCGTCAAGTTGAATTATTTTGTCTGATGAGTAGATATTGTATAATGAGCGAAGGTATACTCATGAATAACATTTTATGTAATTCAAAGTTCTCAAATTTCATTTGTTATGTTCTTTAGAAAATCATTCAAACTAAAATGAGTAAATAATATTGTTAATTTATGATATACTTATACTTAGGACATATCAAAGATAAGTTTTTATTATTATGATATTGCTATGTAATAGTACAGAAAAATAGAGCATCGTTTTTACCATCAGTTGAGATAGAGAAAGAATGACTTTAAGCTTTTTATAATGATGTTATTTTAGTTCTGTTTTTTTTTCACAAAAAAAAAAACGTTCTTTTGTCATACAAAACAATGAGTCTTGTATGACATCATTCAACAACTTTTTATTTGTATAAATATCGATAATAATGAAAAATATTTCAAACAAATATATAAAGCCCGATGAATTCAAAAGTATTTTGTTCAAAGAAACATGCCTCTTTTCACCTTTCTTGATTAACTAAGTATGAACTTAATGGGTAACAATGATTAGTACATTTGTAACGATATATTACGTACCTTTAATTTTAATGTCAATCTACTATTACTTTTTTTTTTTTTTTTCAAGAAAAAAAAATACAACCATTCAAACATTTTCTTCTCTTTTCTTATGTTTCTAACCATTTTTTATTTGTTTTTCGTAAATGTAATTAGTGACTTCAATCAATTGTTTAAACAATAAGAATAACAACGTTTCATAAATTTTAACAATAAAGAAAAAAAAATAAATGATGACTGAAAACGAACATAAAACATCTATATTAGAATCTGAAATATTTCATGCTATTCAAAATTCTCAATATAAACGACTTTTATTATATATTCGTCATAATTATAATTTAAATGTTACATCAAAAGATGGTCGTAATGGTTTATTTTATGCATTAGATATAAATAATTCATATAAACGTTGTCGTATGCTTAGATTTTGTTTAGATCATGGAATTAATCCATTACATAAAGATAATATTAATGGTTATACTGTATTACATGAAGCTATGGCACGACAACAACTTGATTCATTTGAACTTCTTTTTAATGAAATAAATAGTGAAATTGATTGGCGCTCATTAGATATACATGGACGTACAATATTACATCAAGCAGTTGAATTAAATAATATTATAATACTTGATACACTTATAACAACAATGAATCGTTATAGTATATCTGTTGATTTATTAGATAAAAATGGTTTAACACCATATTTACTTGCTATAAAACTTCATTTACATGATATATCACAAATACTTTTAAAAAAAGGTCATGCAAGTCAATTAAAATGTGATTTACAAACACATCATAGTGCTCGTGAATGGGAAAATATTGGTATGAAAGAAAATTATTTAATTTTACGTAAAAAACTTCGACAAGAAATGAATGATGCTATGAAAAAAGGTAAAATAAATAAAGTTAATAAATTAAAAAAAATGTATTATTCAACATATTCATTATTATTAAATGATAATAATATACGTCGTGATTCAAATTTAACAATAACAACAAGATCATGTTCAAATACAAAATCATCATTATCAATTAATGAAATGATTGATCGATTACATCAAGGTGATAGACCTGAAACATATATTGATAGTAGAAAAGATGATAAAACATTTCATATTGAACAAATTCTACCAAGATCTCTTCCACCTATAACAACATTAAAACGACATCGACAAAGTTCTTCAACAAATTCACTTATTGATTTATTTCAAATAGTACAATTATCATCATAATTGTTTTTATTTTATTTTATATGTTAGAAAATAAATTTTATTAAATAAATTTCATTATTCATTAATAAGAACTTCAATTTTGAAGTTTTCATTTATTAGCTAGCATAATATAATAAATGTTCTTGAAATATTTCAGTATGAAAGAGAAGAAACAAGCGAATTTTATTTTATTTTTTTTTAATACAAGGACATAGAAGAAAAAAAATCAATTATCCGAGAAATGGATACCATCTATGATGAATTTGTCGTGGATATTCAAGCATTTTATGCCAATCAGATTCATAAAGTGTATGTTCACCAAGAAGTATTGAACTTGAAGAAATGAATGAATTATCTTTTGAATTAAATTCAACATGTACATATATAGAATGTATATCATTTTGTGGAATATTTTCTGTTATTGTATCTTTTATTTCATAATCAATTGATGTTGAACTATTGAGAGTCAATGGAATTTTCTTTTGAAAGAAACGACGACCATTATGAAATAATGTTATTGCTAGACGAATATCTATTGAAAAAAGGCAACAAAGAATATAATTTATTCTATGTAAATTTGAACATAATCTCTAAAATTTTATGGAACTCTTTTTTTGTACTTCAATCTTAGAATAATAGAAGAATTCTTACAAATAAGAAATCAATAATTCTGTAAACATCATTCATCATCAAATAACAATCTCTATCAATATCTTAACAAGCTATAGATGATATTCTACGAAACTGTATTTTGAAACAATCGGACATATCTAAAGAAATTTTTATCAATAAATCAGACTTCGTATGAGAAATATTTTCTTATGAATTTCATAGAACGCTCAAGCTAACATTGACTATAAAGTTGTCAAACAAATTACAAAGAATAATATTTAGATTTTGAAAATATTCTTTACATACCAATATTTTTTTCTTTTTCAATTTTACAGAAATAACGTAATTTATTAATATTAATTGTAAAACGTTCTGAAGTTGGAAGATAACTTATACCAATAAATATTTCTCCAAAATTAACCTATATAATAAAGAAAAAAAAAATTTCATTTTTCTTTTCTTTTAAAGATCAAATAAATTATATTCTATCGAACTTGTGGAGGATTTTTAAATTCAATTATTTCTTGATGTTTAGGTATCATTGATGGATTTAAACGAATCAATGCTTCAAATATTAAATCTTGAAAACCAGATCGATCTGTACAAAATAATAAAAATCGAATTGATGTTAATGTTATATCATTTCTATTGAATTGAAATTGAAGATGTTCATCACATAATAATGTATCACTTGCTGTCCGTAATAAATTTCTAAAAAATCAAAAAAAAAAACTCAAATCAATTTTATTCAAAGAAAAATAACAAACTTCGTTGTTTTTTCTGGTTGTTTTTTCCATATATTTAATGGTAAACTTGATCGACGTTTTTTACGTTCATCACAAAATTTTTTTAATATATTATTATTTAATAATTGTATACGAATAAAATATTCTGTTTGTTCATCCAATATAGGATGAGGTAAAAAATGTTCACCATTTGTTAAATGAATTTTAAGTAAATTTTCGATTATATCAATTTCAATTTCAACATTTATTTGAGCATATGGACCTGACGGATATGCATTACTAATAGTTGGATATGTACCAGAATTTGATAATGATGAACGAGCCGATCGAGTACGACGAGTTTTTCCATTTAATGATGCTACATAATCATTATTCTAATAAAGAAAAAGTAATTTTGAGAAATGATAAACAAAGAAAATACATACACCAGTTGATTGAATACCATCAGTGTCTGATACAGTTCCATTTGAAGATTTTCTTGCTAAATATAAATATGGACTCTTAGATAATTTATTAAAATCTAGAATATCATCATTTTTGACAATTGATTCATAACTTGGTGGTGGTGGAACTGTAGCTAAACTTTTTCTTGATATTGTATTTACCAAACCATGTTGATCTGTATCTTAATAGAAATACAAAAACATTTTATTTCAAATTCTATTTTCTATTGTATTTATTTTATTAATACTTACTTAATTTATTTCTTGAATAATATCTTCGTTTTAAAGAAGATCGAAAACAAATAAGACAAAGTAAAATAAAACCAACAACTGAAACAAATGCCGAAACAATCAATACAATTAAAAATCGTTCAAGTGATGTTAATGATCGTTGCCATGGAAGAATATAACTTAATTGATCAATATAATCTTCTTCTTGTGTATTGTTATTCATACTTATATCATTCATAATGTGAAAACTTCACATACTTTTTTTATAATAGATTCTTACTGAAATAGTTTTCTTTTACTTATCACAGTTATAACAAGTGAAAATGAAACAGCTGCATTAAATGCAAAAAAAAGTATTTTTGATCAAAAACAGAAAAAGAAAAACCAATCTTTTTCTTTTTTTTGCTTTTTTCATTACAGTAAGCATCTTGTTACTTTAAAGTCCGAGGATAAATCGAATCACCAATCATAGAATATATATCATGTGTCACAGCTGGATCTTTTTATTTGTTGTGCTTAATGAATACATTTGAGTGTTTCAACCAGGGTTTCCGATTTCCATTTTAGGGTAGGAGGAATAGAAAATACTGAATCATAGACACTTTGTGTAAAAAAAACCAAAAAAAGCATCTTCGTATGAATACGTGTCAGAAGCAGAGTTAAAACCACTGACTCTTTTCTAATCAAAAATCTTAGTTTCTACTGTATAAATTTTAATATTGAATAATTAATCATTGTTTTTTTTTATCTTAAAATTTGATCTCGATGACAGAAAAAAAAGAATAAAATAAGCGTACACACACACATATATATTTCTATATACATATATAGAGTTTAAATTTAAAAAGAAAAGATTATAGTCTTATTTGATCACCGAGAATTACTCTTGTGTTTCTTTTTTTATATCATTATTTTTTTTCTTTTATTTATGATTCACGCAATTTTGCTAATCGTTGAGTAAGTTCGTCCTAAAAAAAAAACAAAACAAAAATAAATAAATTTTGTACAATAAAAAAATCTTACTTGTTCAGTCTTAACACCAGTTGCAACTGTTGATGGTGCACTTGGAATATTAATATTAACTTCAATACCTGCTTCATCAGCCATTTCTTGCATAAGTTTAGCAACTTGATCAACTGGTTGTTGTACTGATGTTGCATTTTGCATAGCATCATCCATAACTTTTGTTTTAACTTCAAGATCTTCAAAATTTCTTTCTAAACTATCCATTAATTTTGATGTTTCAGTTAATGGCATATTTGCGGTAACTTTTGACATTAATGAAACTGTTTGTTTAAGACTTGCTGCCATCTATAGAAATCGAAAAGAAAATCAACTCAGAACAATTCCTATTAAGACTAAAGTATGAAATATGATATAGCTGGTTGTTGCTAATCGTAAGCAAAATTAAATACATAGTGTTATTCAGTTTTTAATGCTCTTCATAGAGAATACGAAAGTAAGAAGCCTGCTAAATTTTTGTACTGTATTTCAGTTTTTAATACTTTAAGAGTATTCTATTAGATTGCAAAAATTTACTTGTCGTTGTGCAGCTGAATTAGCTACACGTGCTTGTACACCATCAACACGAGCTGCCATTCGTTTACAATTTAATGATTCACTATGATGTCGTATAGCATTTTCTGCATGAATTTTTGCTGCTTCAATATTTCCTTTCATTAATGCTTTTTTAACTTTATCACGTTCAATTTTTTCTTGTTTATCATGTGAAATAGCTTGTCTTTCAAGCATTTTTGTTTGCATTTTAAATTGAAATGCTAATTTATCTATAAAAACAAAAACAAAAATAAAATTAATATAGATTTTGAAATTATATGATAAAACATACCCGACATATTAATAATATTAATCTATTGATAATTAATATAAAAATCTAAAATTTAACACAAAAAATAAATAATTCTTTATTCTATGCTAGAGATTATTTTCATCTGACAACACCAACATAAACAAAAAAAAAGAATGTATTTATATATATATATAAAAACAGGAGTGTTCCGAGATATGGAAGAAGACCAGAGAGTTGACTGTTTCTTTTTTGGACATCAGTGTGCAAAAAATCAATAAAATACTGGAATTATGCTTGAGAAAAACAGAAAAAATTTGCAAGATTGAGAAAGAAAGGAGTCACTCCTGTACATATATATATATCGGAATTAATAATGCTTAGCGTAAAAAAAGAAATAAGCCAATCAAACTAACAGCAATGCAAGTAAAAGAAAAAAAAAACATTTTGTTTAAATAATCAATATCATAAGTTGAATCCATAAAAGCCATACTATCCTAAAAATAAATAGTCAATAAAATTTTCAAATTTTCACAATCAATATTTTGATCTTGTCAAAAGAAATATTCTTTTCTTTTTTTAAATTGAAAGTTATTAATATTTTTGTTAATATCATTAGTATGAATTACTATGAAAAATTAAAGAAACAATTTCATCAAATAATAAATCGCTCTTAAAATAAATCTCAAATCATTCAATAGATTCTATTGAAAACAAAAGTAAACTAAAAAAATCGTTCACTAAGATATGCGATAGAAGATACTATAAAGGATGATACTTCCGCAATGAACTATTCTCATTCAGAATCTTTGTTCATGTAAAGTCAAACTCAAAAAGAAAGCTGTTATTGCAATTTTCACAAAATTAAAATTTGAATATATATTTTTAGAATACGTTCCTTCATATAACAAAATGTTTTTTAATATATAGTGATGAACGAAAGTTTAGAACATTGGAATTGTTGTCTTCTCGATAGTAATAGACTAAGAAGAACATTTTAGTAACTGAAAGGATTTTCTTAGAAAATTTATAGACTTAAAATCTTCAATAAAATTCTTTCGATGAAGATGTTAAGAAAATCAAGATTTTAAACGTCAATTTTTAGTTATTTATTTGTAGTGTGTGTTTTTTTTATGTTAAAACAAAATACGATTTCTCAACTCTTTTCTTTCATTGAACAAAATTTAATTTATAGAAGATTCTAAAGTGTTAAATACGATGAAATTCTTTATAGAAACAAACTTAAGTCAATTTAGTTCAATGAATGAAATCGAAATAGATCATTTTTCTTCGAATTTTTTACTTTATTAATTAAATAAAACAATATTTTTGTAATTTTTCGTTCGATCAATCTTAATAGAGACCTACTAAAATGTTCTTCTTATCTATTTCGTTCATCACTATAATCTTTAGTCATATATCAATAACAACTCTGAATATTTCTATTCTATATATTAAAAAAACTTCTCTCAAAAGCGATTCATCATTTGACAAGATTTTCTATAAAAGTTATGTTAATTAGATAATATTTCATCTAGTATTTTTTTTTCTTTTTGTTAATTTCAAAAATTTTACTTGATCATTACTCAAACTCAAAAACATTTTGAGGATTTTCTTTTTTTTTGAAATATCTATAAAAATTTCTATTATTAATTAATATATATATATATATATTTTTTTTTTTAATTAAATTTACCCATCCACCATGATCTTTAATCCAACTTGTTAATTCTTTAACAATATATTGTCCAGTAACATATGCAATACGATCTGATATATCATTATGTTTTCTAGCAATAAATGTACTAAATGCTAATATAGTTATAATTTTTCCCCAACTAATATTATTATTTTGTATTAAATGATTAAATATTATTGTTAAATCATGACAAAGTAAATCATCAATTATATCTTGACGATTTTTTTCATTTTTGTTAATTTTTATTGATAATGAATCAAGTTTACGATGCATACCAGTAAATAATATTTCATGACGATGTATTAAATGTTCAACTTGTTCTTTAATACGTTTATAATTTGAATTATTTGATGAATGTTGACAAATAAGTGCAACTGTAATTTCCATTGTTTCAGCTTGTATACGACCTTCATAATTATCAAAATATGACATGAAAAATATGATTTATAAATAATTCTATATAGAAAAATAAAAGAAGAAATGAGTGATACACACTTATATGCGTCAGTTTACATTATGAATCATATTAACTCTGATAAATATAATTATGAATCATTTTATAATCTTTATATTTAAAAAAAAAAAATAATAAATAAATTTAGTAAACATTTTAAATAAACATATAGAGATTTTTTATCAAAACAAGGTTAGAAAAATAATATTAGTCATATGTTAGATAGATGGATATAGAATCGCTTTAAAGATTGAGATTGGTTAGATAAAAATCAACGGTGTCAGCAAGAGAAAATGAATTCGCCTTGTTTTTTTGATAAGAAACAAGATTTCAACAAAATATAAATATCTGTAAAATTTTCAATTAAAAATTCATAATAAGACAAATTTTAAAGTAAAATAATAGATTCTCATATTGTAATTATAATCTGATAAGGTTGGCTTCATCTTATTTTTCTTAAAAATTGATTGATAAAATGAATTCTAAATAATATTTCTTCTTTGATATAGTTCATTCTAGTGAACTAATCATTTTTATTATTCAATAGAAAGTTTTGCTTTGTAGATCTTAACAATGATCTTATATTTGAAATTGTAAAGAGTTCTTAAAAGCTTTATTTTGTATTTCAATCATTTGAAAACTTTTGAATGATAAATGTTCGGAGGCATGAAACTATTTTCATTAGTCGAACGTCTTTAGAATATATCATGTATTTTATCGAAAAAAGATAATTGTAAATTAAGGTCGAGATAGCCTTTACTTTATAACATATGTGTTTGATTGACAATCTAAAATAGTGATAAAATACCTTTTTTTTTGATATATAAGTCACTGTTTGAAGAAAGATTATGAGTTAATTTAAATGAATTTTGTTGATTGTTCTATATTGAAAATATAATTTGTATCTATTTTTGATAGGAGTGAAGAATAATAAATTGAAATTTTCTTTTACAATTTTGAAAGAAAATACTAATAGAATCTAAATTATCTCTTTAGATATTTGTAGACGGACAATAACGTTTGATATTAAATCAGAAAAAAAGAAACAAGACATCTATTTTAGAATTAATTAACAATAAAACTAATTTATATATCAATAGATTTCATAGAAAAGTTTTTTGTTTCAAGTAAAAAATGATAGTAAAGATCTTGTAAGAATAATTTATAGGTAATATAAATTGAGCAAATCCTATTAATTCATGTAAATCAGAACATTTCAATTGAATGTATTAATCGATCATAAAATAAGTACTTATTCATTGAAGTACGTAGATTTCTTTTTGGTTCTGTTCTAATATTTTCAAGGGAATAATAAAATGAATAAACTATTTAGAATAAATTTTGTAACTTTGAAACAATTCTTTTTTACTAATATTTGATTTAATAGAAAAATGTATTTGTTAATCGTTGAAAAATAATATTATCAGTAAAGAAATTTTATCTAAGATTAGCAAAAAAAATATTTCCTTTTATAATCAGATTGAAATTATTATTTTTTCATAAGAAATATTTCTTTTAACTTCAACTTTTCAAACATTAAGTTCTTTAGTCTATGAATACATGATCGATCTTCTTCTAAAGACCTTAATTTTATCGAACTAAATCAATTTTATTACTTCTAAGTCTTAGATTCAAATATACAAGACGAAAAGATTAAGTCATGGGAACTTATATTTATTTTTCTTATTGACTGTATTCTTTCTCTTTTTCTTTTATTGATGAAAGTGAGAGAACGAAAAGGTGAGGCAGTTATAGATGCATAACTTACTGTATAAATATATATATATATATGAGCAAAAAAAATAAAACAACGTAAAACAGTGCTTTTTCATAGGCAAAACTAACTAGTAGCAAAAGGTACGAAAGTATGTCAAAGCCTCTAAGTCAAACATACTCTCTTCGAAAACATATCCAACCATTAGTTGATATTGATGAACAAGATGATGATCAACGACGAGATTCATCTGGACGAAAACGTGTAGATGTTATCGAATGTTTATTAGATTCATCATCTGATGAAACTGATAATGATAATATAAATATTGAAAAATTACATAATATACTTTGGTTGACATTTGGTGAAATATGTCATATACGTTATGTTCTTATTCAAACAATTTTATGTGTTGATAAACAATATTCAGAAATTGTTAGTGGTCATATTTGTTTTCGATGTCGAAAAACTATTAATCAATTATTTTTCTTACCATCATTTTTTCATTTTAATAATTATGAAAAATGTTTTATTTGTCAACAAATCATATGTAAAAAATGTTCATATTCAAATTTTATACCACCATCTTTAAAACTTTTAATTCCTATTCGAATACAAAATTTGATTAAAATATCATCATCTAATATTGCAAATGACAATGAAAAAGTCAATAAATCAAACGCGCAAACAAAAACAGTTTGCTATGATTGTTTACAGGTAAAAGTAAATTTTCATAAAACAAAAGGATTAAGTTGGAAAAAAGCCAAATTTTGATATCATTAAGATAGATGTTAACTTATTTCCTAGAATGTTGATCTTTTCATTAAACAAAATTTATAATAGTTAAACTCAGCTAAAAACATTTCTCTAGGCAATTACTCAACGAGCTAAAATCTTGCCTTTTTGTATAAGACTTCATCAATAGTTTTCTTATATATAAACTTTATTTGATTATAGATATTTAACGAACATAGACAAACTTCCAAACATAATCTAAAGCCATCCGTTATTTCAGTTCGTCGAACATGTTCCTTACCACCTATGTCACAAAAAGATTCCTTTGAAACTCAAAATACATCTAATCATCATTATCGTCATCGTCGTCCACTTCAAATAACTAATTATAAAATTGAAAAAACTACTATAACTACAACATCACTCATAACTGAATTTTGATTCTTATCTATATATCACTATTTTTATTTTATATATAACAATAAATCATCAAGGTTAATATAATGGGATATTCACATATAAATAATACAACGAAAAAAAGAAAAAGAAAAAAAGTTAAAGTTTTATTGATTATTTTTGACCGGTATATTTCCTATAGAAAAAATAAAAATTCGATTAAATAATATTAATAAATTATATATTTTCACATACGTAACAGCTTTGGTGCCTTCTGATACGGCATGTTTTGCAAGTTCACCTGGTAATAAAAGTCGAACAGCTGTTTGAATTTCACGTGATGATATTGTTTGCCGTTTATTATATTGTGCTAATCGTGATGCTTCACTGGCAATACGTTCTAGAAAAATAAAAATAAATTATTAATAATTAAAAATTCAATGAAAATATCTTACCAAAAATATCATTTACAAAACTGTTCATAATTGACATTGCTTTACTCGATATACCTGTATCAGGATGAACCTAATTAAATATTATTAAAATAATTTATTTAGTTTTTTCTTAAAAATCTTTTTTTACTTGTTTTAAAACTTTATAAATATAAATTGAATATGTTTCTTTACCTAACAAAAAAAAAAAATTTATAAAAAAAATAATTATAAGTTTAATATTTACGTTTTCGTTTATGGCTTTTTTTTTCTGTTGTAGCACTTGATTTACTAGTACTACCTTTTGTTTGTTTAGTAATCATTTTTGAACCTTTACTTGGTGTTTTAGGAGGCATGTTGTATTTATGAAATAAAATATAAAATCTACCCTTTATATATACACATAGATATTAATATCATTGGTTAAAGAATGAAAAAAAGAAGAAACTTCTAGAGGTTAGATAAAATAAATTTCATTTGATTTAAAGTTATCGGATGATGTAACATGAAAATGATTCGATGATAGTAACGAATAAAATCTAGAAAAAAGTTGCTTCTTTGATGAGAGCTAATATAAAAATACGAATATTCATCATTTTAAACGAAGAAGAAAAAATGTCTGACCGTGGTAAAATTTCAGGAAATGGTAAAGCTCGTTCATTAAGAACTAGTCTTCAATTTCTAATAATATATTATTAAAATTTAAAGAAAATTGTATTAAGATTTTCTTTAGAGTCGTATTCATCGTTGACTTCATTATGAAATTTTTGCTAAACGTATTGGTGCTGAAGCTCTAGTTTATTTAACTGCAATAAGTGAAATAATTATTCATTGATAATCTTTTATTATGGTGACATTAAAGTGAATGTCTGTAAAGCACTTGCTAAAAGAAATATCAGTCACTTGTTTTTGTATTATTTATTCAAATAGGTTGTTGAATATCTTTCGGCTGAAATTTTTGAATATAATAAAAACTCGTATTATACTACGTCATCTTCAATTAGCTATATGAAAAATAATGAAAAACTTAATAGATTATCATTCGAAGTGACAATTTTCTCAAGGTGACGTTTTAAGAAAACAACTGAAGGTAGTAATTCATCAACAATGCAAAATAATTCAATGATGAAAATAAATGATCATATAAACAATGATTTTTTGTTTGATTTTGATTTTTCAGTTATTTTTTTTGTATATAAACTTCAAAAATGAATCTCGATATATATATATTTAATCAAAAACTAAATTCATATAGAAACTTAAAAAGAATCGACATTTGTAATATCAAACTAATAAAAAAACAAATATTCTTCATGAATTATTTCTTTTCAAATAATTATTTATGTGCATTTCAATCGTTTATTTTAATTTGAATATAAAAATCAATTAATTGAAATATTTTCTTTAAAACATGAGAAACATCAAAATAATGTTTGAACAATACATTGAACTATTTTTCAATTATTCTCAGATTATTATCAACATCATTTACAATAAATAGAAACAGAGACTTGCTGAATAGAAGAAAGTCATTTTCGACAACTCATTTTATTTACGTTTTTTTTGTTTTTTTGCTCTTAGTATTTCATAGAAAATGTATAATAAAGTTTTGTTGAAAGCTAATTAAATCAAATATTACTAATTGCAAATGGTCATAGCTCGATACATAGTTAATTCATTTAATCTGATATTTATTTCAAATATAAATATTCAATAGAAATAATAAAAAAAAATAAAATCAAATAATTATTATGACAAATTCCTTGATTTGTTCGACATGTTTCTAAATCTTTATCACATCCATCAAATGTACACATACATATTACATCATTTTGTTTACATTGTGAAAAATAAATACTTTTTGTTGTTAATATAAATGAATTACATAATTCTGTTTTATATTTTATTAAATAAGCTGAATAAATTGATGGTACTAATGATTGTCTAGTTGTTCGATTCATTCGATCAATATTAATTATACATAAAACACTATAATTAAATAAATAATTTTTACATTCATTATCATCATCTGAACATAATAATGTTAAACTTGAAGATGTTTCTTGTTTAATATCTTTATTAGATTGATAACATTTAATTTTCTCTTTTAATTCAATTATTGTATTAGTAAATAAAGATGATTTTTGATTAAAAGAAGATATTATTTGTCGAGTACATTGTACATAATTAAAATTACATGTATTTGTAATACATAAACAAGCTCGATATGAACCTCGAAGATAAGTATATGATGATGCTATACAAAAATCATCATAACCATTTAGTGTATTTCGTGGAAAATAACGACATTCACGTATAAGATTTTCATGATAAGCTTCAATATCATTTACTTGTAAACATTTATAAGAAAAACCTGTTGGTCCAGAACCAGTTAATGAAAGTTTTGTTTCAATAGCATAATTACGAGATGTTATAAGACATGCTTCACAATTGGTTAATATAGTTGTTACTAATGGTAGATCATGTTGACATGTTAGATTTCGTGAAGGAATACGATCTTCAGTAGAAATAAGAAGAGCTATTGATGATCTAAGATATATTATTAGAAATAAGAGTAACATTGTATTTTGAAGGTCGGTTTTAAAATAGTTAATGTGTTAGAATGAAGGTTGTTATTTCTTTTTTTTTTTTTTGAAAGAAGCAAAAGAAAGTAAAATAATTCATCAGTCAATATGTGCTTTTATTATATTGTATAAAAATTTAAAATTTTATAATGACTGCTTGAGACATTCTATGAAAAAAAATATGATGATAAATATATATTATCAATAAAAAAAAAGTAACAGTTTGAAAGAAATATGATTTATATCAAAGATTTCACAACAATTGATAAAAAAAATAAAACAAATTTAATTATGACTTTAATAGAATTATTCAATTATGATTTTCTTTTTTTCTGTATGGTTTAAATTTTAAAATGAATAAGTATTGTATGTTAAACATGTATTCATTATCTAAATTAATGTCTATAATAAGTTAAGAAATAACAAACATGACTCTTCTTCCGTTTTTCTTTTCTATATATATCAAGTCTTTAATTGTGATCTTATCAAATAGACAAATAGAACAAATGCATATAACTGAATAGACATTGAGTAAAATATTGACAATAGTTTACTTGAATATAAATTTGTCTATTTGATGAAGAAGTTTTTTTTTATTTTTCTTTATTTGTTTGAATTTGAATAATTTTTATAGCCATATAATTACAATGATATTTTAGTTTTATCTAACTATAAAATTTTTCGTTTATAATCTCAATATTTTTATAAAATTCAATGAAACATTAATAAAATTCATTCTATTTCTTTATTTTCAAAAAAAAAGAAATTATATTATAAAATAGATGATGTTGTCGAAGTAGTAGTGTGTTTTGCATTAGGATCATATGATATAACAAATGAACTACTATTTGTTAATGCACATAATTGATAAAAATCTGGATTATGTATTGGAACAATTAAATCCGATGAAGATGATGCTAATGGTTGTTCCATATTATTTGTTGATGAAAATATCGTCATTCTATCAAGATCATTTTCTTGTAATAACCATGGATATTCATATATTTGTTGAAGTAATATTTGACGTTCAATTGCTAATTGTTGATTATAATTTTCATGATATATTTTATATTCTTTAATTTGATTTGTTAATTGTTGTTGTTGTTGTTGTTGTCGTTCAAAAAGAAATTTTCGTTGTTCAGCACAATTATTTGACCAAACATGTAATTCACTATCAGAACCATATGTATTCATTAGATTTATTTCAACTGAATGTTCATTTATTATATTTGAATGATAAACATAATATTGATTTTCATTTTCATTTTCATTAATAAAAAATTTTTTTTGTTGTAAATCAGAATCAGATAAAATTCGACGAAAAAATATTAAACGATTTAATAAACCAGGAAATAAAAGACGTTTTTGAGGTTTAATTAAAAGATTTTTATTTATTATTGTTGTTTTATATGATGATGAATTTTCACTACTACTACTACTACTAATATTATCATTTTCATCAATAAAATGATCTTCAATATATTCAGACATATTAAATGTTAATGATGATGATGATGATGATGAACTAGTTGAATCATCAATATTATCTATAATATTTGGTAATGATGGTGTAGTAAGTATTTTATCAAATGTTTCCGAACGTGAAAATGTTGTTGATGATTGAATTGTTTGTGAATTATCGAGACTATCAAGTGAAATATCTTTATTTGTTGATATAAGAGGTATAGATGTAGCATTTGAATAAAAATTATGAACAAATGGCTGTAGCAATGATGAATTATCTTCATGTTTATTATTTTCGACTAGAACATTAAATATAGAAATATTATTTAAATTGAATAGTAAAGAAATCTTTGATCTATTTTCTCAATAGTTATCAAATCATAATTTAAAATAGAAGATTCGATTTTCTTTCTCGAATTAATTTAACATTTTATATCTCGAAAGATAGAATATGATGCAAAAGAAATTGAATCAATATCGGTTCTTATTTCTCTTCAACAGAAAAGTGATCAAAAAAGAACTTTTTTTTTATTAGACGATAGAGAAGTTTTTCTTCTTTTGAATACTATATAGCTTAAATTGATTACAATTTCATAAACAACATAGCACAATAGAAAATGTAGTAAACAATTGTTATAGTCTTTTGAAGCATTTCAATGTTTTTCGATAATCATAGATATGCTTTCTTTTTGTAAATTAAGAGCAAGATGTGACGGTCACCAACATTTATATTCGTCTAAGATTTGCATTACATTTTATATTCTTATGACTCATATGTTCTAGAAGTTTTTTCGAAAACTATTGAATAACAATTATTTCAATATTTGTTATTATAATTTTTATAGTAAAATTAAATTTTACATTTTAATTGGAATGTTGTCAAATATTTATTTAATATGTAAGAAATTATTATTCTTGAAATGTTTTACTTTATAAATAATTAACTATTGTTTTACATAATTTATTTGAGAAATCAATAAAAATAATTGTCAACTTGTTTTTTGACCGGAATCTAGTAAAAAGAAAAAAAAGACTCTCGTTCCAACAGGTGTTTATTCAATAGATATATAGAGGTTGATATTTTTTGGAGATGTTTTTATTTACTATTGCTTCATTTCATTAATGAACATGTGAAAAAAATTATTTACAGTTCAAAATAGAAAGAAATTATTTATTTTCCAATAACAAAAAAAAAATTTTCTCTTTAGTATTCTTCTATCAAAGAGAAATAAGAGTCGATATTTGTCCAATTATTTTTGCATCATATATTACTTTGTTCGCGATTAATTACACTGTCTGATGATTCAAGGTGATAAAGACAAGTGGAAATAATCAATTTCTTAAGACTCTATCATAGATGAAGAATAATTCTTTGTTCTATAAAAACGTTCTACGTGATTATTCTTTTATGTTTATTATAAGAGAACAAAGAATATATCAATACATTCTATGTATAAACTTCAATATCACCAACCATAAAATCATCCTAAACAATTCACAAACGGCCCGTTCAATATTACATTGTAACATAAACATGCCCTTTCAGCTAGTCTATGATGAATGATCTCCAACAAGAAAATGCAAGAACTTTACGTTAGACCTACTTTCTACTCATAGCTATAGTCAGTATTAGCCTAGAGAAGATATCAGACTATTGAATATGCCGCTAGGTAGCTGAAAGGCATGGATATATTCATCTATACGTTTATTTGCACTACTGCTAGTAAAAGAAAAACTATAATAATGTCAAAAGACAGTCAACTGTTTAAGTATTAAAATACCAACGATTTTTTTATCTGATTCGAATGACAAGTATATTGTTAAAGAAAAACAAACGATTTCGTCATGAAGATTTTTTATTAGTTAGAAGTATTTCATTATGCAGTATTACATACCTTCGTTCACCGGTTTATTTGAACATTGTTTTTTTGATGTATCAAGCCATGTTTTAATAAGTCCAATATTTTGTTGTTGATTATTAGTTTCATTTTTCTGTAGATTATTCATTATTCCATCATCTTTTACATCAATAGATGACCATGTAGAATATCCATCATCTTGTACAATAGATAAGAATTTATTAATATGTTGTTGTTCTTCAATACTTGATTCACTTGATGTTGAATTCATTTGTTGAATAGGATCAGTTAATTTTACAGATTCTATTGTTGTTTTTGTAGATTTATTTAATAGAGATGTTGATTTTTTTGTTATATTTTTATCAGATATTGTAGTCGAATGAGATCGAATTTTATTTGATGAAAGTTGAATAATTGATGGTGGACGAATTGTTTTTTTTATTGTTGTATTATTATTATTATTTGTTGAAGTAATAGAACGATTAGATACTGAAGTTTCATCATTTTTCATTTTAGTTATTGTAGGTATTGGAATATTTGATTTTTTTATTGAATTTTGTTGTTGATTTAATGAATTTATTGTTCGAATTGGTAATTTTGATATTTTTTGTGTTGATAATGAACGATTATTATTTGATGATTGTACTTTTGAATTTGAACAACGTGAAGGTAGTCTTGAAGGACGAACAGTAGTTGATGTTGTTGGAACTATTGTTCGATTTATAGGATGATGTTGAATACTGGTCATCGAACGAGGTGAAGATAATTCTTCATGTGGTATTTTTGAAACTGTAAATGTTTCGGAACGTTGAAGAACATGTTGTTGTTGTTCTTCTTCTTCTATAAAAAGCAAAGCTAAAATTTATTATTGATATTTTTAAGAAACATAAAGAGATCGATAGCTAATAAAATCAGTCTTCTACAGAAATATGATATCTGTCATGTCAAACTATCACTCAAGGTGTTCCCAGATGATTCCTGTTAGGCTAAATGATCAAAATGACATTTTGATAAGGTTTATTTTTTGTCGCAATTCTAAGAAATACCAGAGGTAAATATCACAGCGACAAAAAACCTCATGAGAATATTATAAAATCACATAAGTCTACTCAGTTTCGGATACTGATTAGTTTTTATCAAAACTGTATTTTTCTAGTAGAAATCTACTAAATATCAATCAAAACTATCATAAAATTATGTATTGATCACAGTGTCTTTGGAGACTTATGATAATGACTATTGCTTTTTTATAAATGTTTTTGATATTACTTTGTAATGCTTGAAAAATAGTCTGGTAGGTTTTCGGATTAAGAGATAAAAATAGATGAATATTCTTAATAATTAAATATAGTGTATGTAGAACAATTATTAACTATTTCAATCGATCAAAATACATTACAAACAAATTTTGATAGGTTTAATTCTAGTAGAAATCATTTTGAAATATATATTATTACCTGTTGGTTTATTTGAAATTAACATTTGATTATTTGTATCTTTATTATCGAATGACTATTTTAAAAAACAAAAAAAAAAAAAGTATTTCTCAATTATAAAAATATCGAACAAACTTACTAAATCAAGTGTCCAACTATCCGATGTTGAACTTGAACAATGAGTTGTTAATGATGAATTTGATGATGATGATGATGAATGAATTATATCTTTAGTTAATTTTCGATAGTTTGAAATAAATTCACAAGATTTATTTAAATTTTCCCATGATAAACTTTTTTTTCTTTCTTTAATAATAAATTCTAATGGTTGTTTTGTTTGAATAGTATTTACTGTTAAAAATGATAATCGTTCAATTAAATGATAGATTGATGCACATTCTTTACGTATATTCTAAAAAAAATTAATTCATTATAAAAGAATTTCTTTTTTTTTTCTTGATTCTTTTGTAATGAAATGAATAAACAAAAAAAGAAAATAAAAAAGTATATCTAGATGTTCTTGATTTGTGCCTATTATTTACAGTTCATCAACATGAATCAAGGTGAATTGATGAAAGAAAAGAAATATCCCATGGGAAACAATAACATAGAATTTGATCATACAATGAGACAGATAGATAGATAGAATATGATTATTTATTTAAAGAATGATACTATGACCTGTCTAGCAATGGACAGTAATCTAGATTGTGTGCTAACTTTTTTAACGAAGAATATTATATGAAAATGAAGCAATCTCATCGGCATCATCTGAAAAGATTGTTCTCATTTTCTTTTTCCTTTTTTTTTTTTATTGTATTAATGAATTGTTCTTGTATTGAATAAGGAAAAAAAAACAAAAAGAGTTGAAAGATAATTTCTCGATTCATTTATTATTTTGATATGAAAAATGCAAAAAAGAATCAATGTTGATGAGTTCTTCTATTACATCCGCTTTTACATTAGAAATAAAAATTACTTATCTATGATTGGTGATCTCACATCATTAACCATCATCTATACAAAAGAAAGAGAAATAAATGTTCCAAGACATATGTTGCTACAGTCTATTGCGATAGTTCTTGTCAATGTAGGAAATGACTATAAGGCAAAATGATGAAAATCAAAAATTTTTTCAATAATTAACTACAGATTATCTTAATATTTTCTATCAATATAAAATGATAAGATTATCCCTTAATCAAAACAAATCGAAAGACAAAAAACAAATACACAAATCTTAATCATGTTCTTACTTCTTGCATGACAGCTGTTCGTATAACCATTGTTGTTAATTGATCTAAGAAACGTTCATATTCTTCTCTTTGACATTGATTTTCAACAAATAATCTTTCATTTTCTTGTTCAAGTTGACGTATATGTTCTTCAAAAAAATATTTTTGTTGAGTTCTCATACTTGTTTTATACTATTATTAGTTAACATATAGAAGAAATAAAAAAAAAAAAAAAATAAGAATATAATTATATGAATAACATCTGGATGTATTTTTATTTACCAATGCTTCAAGCTGATCAATACGTTTGTGTAATTCAACATTCTCAGTTTTGAGAAGTAACATATTTTCATCAAATTCACGAATTTTCGTCTGAAAAAAACAAACAAACAAACAAAGAACATAAAAAAATAAATAAAATAAAAGAATTTTTTTATTTTACTTCATATAACGATGGATCGTGAAGTTTATTCTTCAATCTTACTAATATACTCATAATCGTTGTTTGTTAAACATTAAGTACAACTAAAATGAAATATAAAAAAAGAAAAGAACTCAACATTAAAATCTCATCGTTCTTATTCTTGTGCATATCAATTCATTTTGATTGAATATGCACAAGTACATTTAGCTTAATAAAAAAATCATTTTGATTTACATTTATACTATTACGTATTGAACTAAGTGTATGGAAATCAATAAGAACATTTGAAATCTTTTGAGACTAATCATTTATTCTCTTGAAAGTTAAGAAGACTGAACGACGATAGTTTTCTTTTTCTTTTCGCATCATTTATACTATTGTATTAATTTGTTGCTACCTTTTTTATTTTTTTTTTTCTTTCTTACTATTCTTATCGTCTACCTCTCGTCTTCCTACAATTGGGATTGTGCAATCAAGTAAAAAAACGGAAAGAGCAAAAAGAGCAGAATGTCAACTAAAGAAACATGCTAACAGACACGACAACTAGAGGCGATCTATCAAATAATAAAAAAAAAAAACAAAGAAACTTAACATAATGCAAGAAAGTAAAATATGTGACCACATAAACTACAAAATAATCACTTTCTTTATTCTAATCCGCTCATTTTCTTTTTTTCATGTCTACTTTATTGACATATCGTCGTTAGATGAACATTTTGTAAGCATAAAACAAGAGTATAGTCTAGCTTTATACATTTTTTTTTTTATTATGTAATTGATGCTTCGTATATGTTCTATTCTCTGTTTATCTCACTATTCATCATAACAAAAATGAGTTCATCTATTGTACAATACAAAAGGACTAAGATTTACCATAATAATACCCATCACAATTTACTATTGATCATGAAATATCATTTTTACTTACCTATTCTCATTTACTTGATTGTTACGATAGTAAGATGATTTTTATTAGTTTCTAAAGATAGTTGATGAGTATGACAAAATACTATGCGTATTTGTCTATATATTCGATCAATAAAGAATGTTGTGCTTCTTTTAATCGTGTGTTCTATCTATCTATCAATCATTTTCTTGTATACCACCATTTATAAGAGAACGACAAATGTCTATGCCATTTGACTGACAAACATAACTATTCCTACTTTTCTCTCTTTTTTCTATCATTTATTATTTCTTTGATAGAACAAGGACAGAGATATAAAACGTATGTTTCGATCTTATATTATCAACAAAGAGAGTACATGTGTTTTTCTCATATATATAAAAAAAAAAAAAATAAGTCATGTCTGTAATTATTGCATTTTATCTTGTCTTTTTTTTTTAATTTATCTAGATTAATATAATATCAACTTATCATTCTTTAGCCGACAGTGGACATGATAAACACATATCATCAATAACAATAGTGTTGGTTTTTTTTTCTGTAATTAAGACATACGTTTATTTACACAATAAAGTGTTCTCATTCAATTCTTTCCATTCTTTTTTTATATCAATACACATATCAATTCCTCTCTTTCCTCTCGTGATAGAAAAAAATTATCCACTTACGAATTAGTTCAAGGTTAGTCAGTGATAATACTTGTTGGAAGATACAAAAAAAAATAGTCATCTATCGTTCATCGCACGAGTGTCCATTGCTTGACCTCGTAGAATAGTAATAATTACTTATAGACATATGTCAAGCGAACTCAATAGTTACTGACTGTGCGTTCTGCTAATCGTTATAACGAATTGAACAGCACAGAAAAAGAATAAGCATGTGCGCGAACATAAATTCAATAGAAAAGGAAAAAAAGAAGAAAAAAAAACGGATACTTGTATTGATGAACGGATTCGACTACAGACCATTGATATTTATTGTTTAAATGAGAAAAATATGTTTCAATAATAATAACGAGCATAAAAACGCGTTTACATAATAAAAGAAAATACTGTTTATTTGCTAATAAAATCAAATAAATACTCATAGGTATACATTCATTATACTATTCGAAGGATAGTTTATAATGAAAAGCGAGAATGTATATGGAATGTGAAGGTCAACTGTATGTGTTCAACAGCTGTATGATTGCAGAGAAAAAAAAAGAGTTAGTTGAGCTAATCAGATTGTCTTTTTTTCTCCTCGTTAGTATGACTTCAACATCATTATAATACTCTTTTGTGATACAAAAAAAAAAATCTTATAGTAGTTCTAGATTAATGTATGTTTGGGCTAGTCGTTAATTAACAGTAGGTTATTTGTATCTATCATATATCAAATAAAAAGCAGTTGTTAATGTTATGTAGATAGATATTGACAACTTATTCTCACAAAATGAGATATTACAATGACATTCAATAGATTATATTTCGAAATAGTAATAGACAATTTGTTTTCGCAATAAACAAAACGAACGACAGTCTTATTTTCTTTTATTTTTTTTTTGCTTAATTCACAAAACAATATCAAAACTAAATAAAAAATCCAATCATTTTGTTTACCATTTTATTAACTATAGCAAACTGTTTTATTTTGTTTGAGAATGTTAGGTAAACAGAGTATATGTGTCCATGTCAATAGTTTAATTTAACAGATGAAGCTCAGATTACTAATATAGAAAAAAAAAAAGTAATGTCCATAGTTATTATTATGTTATCATCTCAAAGTTTACATATTACCAACATATTACATGATACATCTTTCATCAAATTATCAATTTATATATGCATTTTTGTTAATTAGACTATTCATTTGTATAACAAGCTTTCCTTGTTGATGTATTCATAACAATGTCAATCCGACATGGAATATTTTAGGAACATTTCAGCAAAAACAAATCATAAAGTCTTGAATTTTTCTTTTTTATAATGGATTTAGATAGAACTAACATGAGAGATGTATAAGATGGTCTGATTCTTCATTCATCAAAATTTATTTTCTTTCTTTCACTTTTCAAATATCAAGAGAATCACTTAGTTCGTATTCTGCTATTCATCAATGAGATTTTGTACAATAGACCTGATTTAAATAGTAAACTTATGTTTTCTGAAGAGTTCATATTATTGTCACAACGATAAATAAGAGCATCTTATATAATTTTCATCATCATAAATCGAGAGAATCTTTTGCTTTAACTTTTATTGAGAATTTCATGATGAAATTAGCATTATAGAAATCTATGTTTTTGTACGCAAAAAAACTACAAAAAAAAAACAAAATTTAATTACTAATTAATTCGATATATCAAATATTGGATTGTATTTTATTGAATTCTTATTATTTCTTCATACACATGAATTAATATCAAGATAAATTGTATCACTATAGATTGAAGTTCAAGTTGAACGGAAATAATGTGTTGAGAGCGATTGATTGCTTCTTTCTATCGTTATTTCAAACGGAGCGGAGTAAGAAATCAAAACGATACGGGTAATGATATCTTAGTAAAATTATATTGGCTATAACTAGTATATTTAATACTACTGTTTCCGTCGAATTCATATTTTGAAGTCTCCTTCGGATAATATTTACCGACACCATCACTATCATTCATTCTTGAGATATTATTACTTTCAATTATATAAAACTTTGTTTTGGACAAAAAACAAGATCATTTTCTATTTTACTTCTTATTGATTTTGCTTTTCATAGAATTCAGAAAGCAAGTAAAAGTAAAGAAATGTGTATACTTATGATAAGAATTACAAATAAACATAAGAAAATAAATGAAAATGAAAAGAAAAATACTTACTGTGCCTCTCTTTTTTTTTCATCTCTTGATAGTATTCTTTGTTTGAAATATATCATGATCACATTCATCATCAAAAAAAAAATTTCTGTAGAAAAAATTCAATTGAAATTAATTTATGTTGGCACTAGAAGATGATATTTTTGATGACCTCTATAGATCTGTTTTAGATTTATTGATTGATGTTCATTGATTTTCACTTATTTGTAATAAAGATTGATGAATTCACTTCCTGTCTACTGAAGTTTCTAGACGAGGACTAATCAAGATTTGACGAATGGTTTTATTATTATTCGAACGATCGAAAGATGTGTATTGTAATGAAAGTATATTGAACTTATTTAAGCTAAATGAAAAGTCTTATTGATAAACTAATAAAATTAAACATATGAGCTGTTTATGACATGCACCGACTGAGATATTCAAATTTTAAGCTATTTTCAATCTATATAGTGTGCCGACGATTGAACATCTCAGCAGAATTGATTTTTCTCTTTTTAACCATACTTGAATAGAATTGAACAAGTTATGTACGAAAAAGAAATTTTACGAAAATCAGAATTTCAGATTTATTTTCTCCTATACTTCTTCATGTAGAACACGATAAACTTTATGCAACGATGACAAAAAAAAGAAAAATAAATCCTGTTTAAAATTTAAATTATTAGCATATTTCGTAGAGAATTCAACAAGTTTTTCGAAACGTATTTATCTTGAACACAGTTTAATTTAATATTCGAATCCGTCTCGCAGAAAAACCGCTTTACGGAATTGTATAATTATTCGAATTCCACGGTGTTTTTCTGATTACTGTGCATCATGCATTGTTTTTGTTCATAACTATGTACATATTTGAATGTATTGGAAGCTAGAATCTAATTTCGACACAAATGAAGTATATAGTTAATCAAAATTTTAAATCTGATGTTTCTTTCGTTGGATTCTAATGAAAAACATACCATTTGATGTAGAATTCAATGGTGGTAATGAGTACTATCTTGATCTCAGCTATGATTTTCAGGAAAGAATGAAACTCTTCAACGAACACTACTTTCAGCTGATTATTCGATGCAATTATGCTGGCTAAGAAAGATTTTGTCATTGTGAAAGTTTATTAAAAACTGAACAACTTTTATATAGAAAATTCATTTTTTCATTGCTTCGCTTCGCTCTGTAGTAAAACGCTATGTTCTCAGCTTCAAAAAGAAAAAAAAATTACATTTTTTGAAACTCTATAATACGCGCTGAAAGAGGTAAGTTAGTATTAGCCAACTAAGTTTTAGGTGATCCTAACCCTTCTGAGATTTCTCGGAAGCAACTGGGTGAAAAATGATAAAAATTTCAAGACAGACAGATCTCATAAGCAAAGCAAAATTTGTCATAGACTCAAAATTCATAGATGCTTCCTTCAGGAAGATATGGGTCTCGCAAAGACCAAAAATAGTCAGAAAATTTTTGTCCGAAAAAATCTATATTTCATTTTTTATCACAATTAGGACTAAATCAGAGTGTAACGGTTTCTTTTTTTTTTTTCTTCAAAAATATCGTTTCTAGAACTCAGAAAAAAACAAAGCATTGGAAACATCAACAAAAAGCGTGTTTTTTTTTCAATGATATTAAATTTTTGAAGGCTGTTAAATTTTTAGGAAACAACATTTTGAAGAAAAAATAGCAGGCAGCTCAATTTAACCGAAGTACTCATAAAAAAAAATACTAAGCCGGATTGAACGTACTGTATGAGGGCGAAGAGAGGAAAGCTACGTCTTTTGGTTTAAAAAAAGTAATTTTGAGAAAAAAGCAAAAATAAAGTTTCCTGTAAGCATGAGGACTTTTCTTTTTGAAACTAAAATGATTGAAAAACTTTAGTAATAGAGGTTCATGTTCACTTATACTCTCACCAATCTTGAGATAATAGATCATCATTAAGAGAATTTTGTGCAAGAAAAAAAAAATAATTGCAATGGAGATTTTTCTGCTGGGAATTTTAAGAATCTCATTTAATAAAAGTATTAACTAATAAAGAAGAATTGTCATTTATGTAGCATTTGATAGAGGACACTTCGAAACTATATCAAAAAACGAAAGAATTTTCGTTTTAAGATCCGACAAGGAGCGGGATTTTCTTAATTATGATTCAATAATGGTAATTAGGTTATTATCATATAACTTTCAATATGGGGACACATCTGAGAACCAATAATCGATTATGCTTTCGACAGCTTTTGTAAATAACGCAGAATGATTAATGTTACATGAACAGTTAGATGTAAAGAATAAAATTGCAAACATGTTGGATATTACGTAGATATTTGTTCAGTTATGTGTATATAGCATTTTGCGCATTCTTTACTGGTAAAAAGAAAATAATTCAATAGATCAGTTATGTAAGAAAGTACTCAAATTATTTTTAAAAATATTTTTTTATTGTAGAATATATATAAATCCGCAATAGTAAATCAAACTCTCTTGATTAACATTAAGATCATAGATGAAAGAAGTTTTTCGTATTATACAAATTACTTTTACCTGTAAAATAGGTTGGCCGTCCAAATGTCGAAAGGAAAAATGTCGAAAGGAAAAATGCCGAAAAGACGAAGGGGAAAAATGTCGAAGAGGAAAAATGTCGAAGGGAAAAATATCGAAAGGAAAAATGTCGAAAGGGAAAAATATCGAAAGGAAAAATGTCGAAAAAACGAATATTAAGATGAAAAATGTCCGATAAATGTTTTAGAGAATTCTGATTAGTGAAGGACATGTTTTATTATATGTTGTAATGCTAACATTCTAGAAGAGAGACAATATAAGTAACGAGAAAAAAAATGGATAATGTGTCATTTTTTTCGTTTAGCAACTACAAATGATAATCCATCTAAGTATTCCATAGCATTTATAGCACAGTCATAATATCGTTTCCCAAGATTATCGATACGGCGTTGAATAGCAATTGTTTTTGCTTGCTTTGGTCTTGGTCCTAAGCCTGCACTAAATTGAATACGCATATGATGAAAACGATTCTCTTCTCCTTGTAGAAATTTTATAAACGACCAAATATTTGGATGATTAACTTGTACTCGACGATTAAAACGACTATGAAATGCTAAATAAAACATAATAAAAATTAAATTACGAGTTAAATAGAAAAGAATTTTACCCTCGGCATTATTATTGGTTCTCATATTCATACCATGAACACACCATTGAGAAATCGAAACTTTCACAAACCATTGCTCTTGGAAATATTCCATTAAATCATTCAGTACGTTTTTCAAGTTTATTGACATTGTTGCAATTAATTCATCATATGTATTTTCAATAATAGCTTCTGGCAATAGGGGAAGAGCCATCAACTTTCGACAATATTGTTTGACATCATCATTATTATTATAACTTGTTGATAAACCGACTCGTTGTATCGCTCGATAAATGGCTTGCGTGAAATGAAAATAACAAGATGTATGTGTTGCTGTAACAAACTGTAAGAAAGAAAAATCTGAAAGCTATTCACGAGAAATATAAAACTCTCACATCAGTTGTAACTACAGCTAATAAACCTGGTTCAAAATCGCTCATAATTGATTTTGGTGTGAAGTTCATTTGCATTTGTATAGCTATAGATTTCAACTCATTAAACATGAAATGATAAGTACTTTTGAACCGATTTGGTAATAAGCCGAAAACACAGGGAAATGCTAAACAGAGACAGAGTTAAATGCAAGTATATGATCAATAGCCTATCTACTCACATTGATTATGTTTTATTGCATGAATTGTATAAACTTGATCAAACATGCTTGGACAAGTTGAAAACGTTCCGTCCATTAGTATTGTTTCAGCAGCGAAAAGCATTTTCAATTGTTCATGTGACGCAAATAAAAGTATTCGCTGTCGTCTTGTTATTGCCTTGTCAACAATTAAAAAATCACTTTTGTGCAGTGTTTTCGTATAAGGATCAAGAATATCAAACGATTGTGTCGATGGTATTGTAGGTGTAATACCCCGACGTGCTTTGTTGATTCCACTATCTTAAAATTAACAAGAAAAATCACCAACTGAAATTAAACATAAAAGAATAATATTTTCATACTCATTTCACGTTCACTTGGTAATACAGCTATTGCTGCGTTTGACAACATCGCTTTTGCACACTCTTCATCATAGATACGTGGAATAGGTGTTGTTTCGTTAATTGCACGTTGTTTGACTTTTTCTCGAAATTCACGAACTTCAAGTTTTTCTTTCTCTGGAAGATGATTATGATCACCAATCGTTTTAATCAATTTACTATTTGTATCTGTATGTATTTTAGCTGAACAACCATTAAGTGTACATATCCAATATTTGGTAGTAGTTGTTGTTTTATTCAATTTGAAAACATATTCGTCTGCTATTAGCAAAGGCTTTCCTTTATGTGAATTTATAAATGAAATAGCTGGAGGTTTTGCTTCAGTTAAATCTGATGAAGATGGGACAGCTGCAGCCATGAAGATAGAATTTTAGTTATATAATAGTTCTTTGTTCAACTCTTTTAGCTAGTTTATATCAGATATTAGTCATCCCCATTACTACTGGTTTAGAATCTAGACTAGTAGAATCATAAGAAAAGCAACAATAATTCGATATTTATTTTTCGACATTTTTCCTCTACTATATTTTTTCTTTCGACATTTTTCCCCTTCGACATTTTTCCTTTCGACATTTTTCCCTTTCGACATTTTTCCCTTTCGACATTTTTCCTTTCGACATTTTTCCTTCGATATTTTTCCTTTCGACATTTTTCCTTTCGACATTTCTCCAGCACACCGTAAAATATTGTCCAAACTAGCGTCATCTGTGATATTATTCTATAAAAGAAAAACGAATAATTCATTGTTTATTATCAAATTTTCTTCCAATGATTATTTGATATAAATAAGTTCGTTCATTGATAAATAAATATTTTCATTATTCAAAAATGAGTTCATCTTATTATTTTCGTATTAATCATAATTTAAAATATTTCTTTATTTCAATAATAACTGTTTTTTTAATATCAACTTGTGTCTCATTAGAAAAAGATAATATTCTACCAATTTATTATGAATCTAAAATTGGATTAAAATTTCCTGAATCAATTATTGATCTTGCATGTCTAGCAAATACTTTTCCATCACAATTTAAACAAAATCAAAATGAAAATAATATATGTTTTTCTGATATATTAAAAAATTTTACAGAAATAAAACAAATTGATAGTTTAATATACGATAATATTGATCAATCATTTATTTCAAATATATATCCATCATTAGGAATTAAAGGATTACATTTAAAAGTATATGAAAAACAAGTAATATCTAAAAATAGAACCAAAATTATATTTTTATTTTATCAAATTTTTCAAATTTAGAATATTGATCAAGATGAATATCAATATATATTTATTGTTATACGTCATCAAGAATATGATTCGATATTAACTGATGAAATGAATGAAATGATGAGTTTATTTGGATCAGCAGCAACAGTTGATCGTCAACAAGGTAATAAAGAATTATTTGGTACATCAGCTGTTTCATCAATGATTCGTTTTGTACGTAAACAACTTGGTCTTGATTATTTACCACAAGCTATTTCAATGTTTAATAAAATTCAATTACATTATAAAAACAAAAATAATATTAAATATATATTCAGTGGTTTTAGTTCAGGTGGTTTATATGCTATTGTATTAGCTTTGTATTTTAAATGGCCAGCAATTACATTTTCTTCGACAGGTGTTGAAGATATTATTAATATTTATTATTCAAATTTATTTACAGATACATATAAACAATCAACAATACCACCAATATTTAATTTTGCACATCAATTAGATAATACTCCACAATTAGATTGTCAATTGGGTACGATATGCTTATTTAAATCAGAAAATCTTGAAGAACAACAACAAAAATTAACTAAACAAGAAATTGAATTACTTCATTTAAATACAATATTTGGACAATCAGGTCCAGATATAATACAATGGCTTCGTCAACCAGAAAAATGGATGTGTACAACATCTGATAATTATAATTCATTATATGGTAGTTGTAAACGAGAACGATTAAGATGGAAAGATCGAATGAAATTAAATTCTAACAATGAACAAACACTTAAACAAGATTTGTAAATATTTTATATAATTTTAATAAATTAAAAATTATCTGAACAAGAAATTTTCTTAGAACATATATAACAATATATTATTTTGTGATTTGTATGTTGCAACTAAGGTGATGAAATATTATACAAATAAAATCTAATGAACCATTCATTGCATATAACTATATGTGACCTTCATAAGAGAAAATTTCAACACGTCTATTTGTTTTTTATGCATCAATAAATTAATGTTTATTTAAAAAATGAATTAGTTTATTACTATATATTTCAGAAAATAATATCATTATTGTTCAAAAATAGTTACTATTAATTTTGGTTATCCTATCAAAAAAGACGATCGTAGTATAAACATATACACAACAAGCACAAAGATGTGCATACAATCATTTGACCTTGTCAAAGATGAATATCATTACTTAGACACACGTTCTATTTCTATACATAAGAAAATGGGTTAGTTAATATCGCATTCATTTGAAGAGACAGCAGTTATAGTAGAAGAAGAAAAAGAAGGAAACAGAAAATGTATTTTCTCTATCGAGCATTAGATATCCGAAGAAAAAGAAAGCTAAACCCTATGAATATTGGTATCAGTCATATATTTTTCTTTCTTTCTTTTCTCTTTCTACATTTAGTTGATGAATCTTCTCATAACGAGCAAATAAACACATACAACACAATGTTTCTTCTTCTATGATTCACTATTAATCATTAAGGAAAAATTTTTCTTTTTTGTTGTCAATAGAATCCAATTATGGTATTACGTGTCTATTTTATTTCGACAACAGGTCGTCGAGATATACGTAAAGGACAAATTCATGTATTTTCTGTACTTAGTTCATGGAAATTTGAATATCAAGCAATTGATGTAGCTGCACCAGAAAATGAAAATGAACGAAATTTTGTTATTGATACTGGTAAAAAATCAGAAGATGGTAAAGTTATTTTACCACAAATATTTCAAGAAGAAGAATGTTGTGGAAATTATTTGGATTTTTTAAATGCTATTGAAGATGAAAAATTACGATTATTTCTTAAAGAAATAGAAGAACAAGAATTTAATGCTATGAAACAAAAGAAATATGAAGAAAAATCAACAAATAATGAAACTACAAATGGTAAATTTATTCTTTTAGAAATTAAGATTAAAAATAGAAGACATAATCGAATTAGAATATTGATATAAGAGAATTTCCTTTTTTTATTGAATACACAAAAGAAACTACGATTTACACTCTGTTGATTACGTAAAATTAGCATCTTTTTTTTTCTATGATGATTTACTTTTCGCTGATTATTTAGAAGAAGAAGAAGAAACGATTTGAGTACAGATCTGAGTATCGGTCTTGTCAATACTCACAGAGTAAATCATGCATACGGGAAATTACAAATGTATGTAGATAATCTTCTGAAAAAATCTAATTCAGCATCACTTCGATGGATGAATTACTGACGACTTACATTTTTCTACTAGAGAACAATAAAAACCTAGTTTAATCTTATATATAATTTTTAGAAATCATTGGCTTTAATTATTTTTTTTTCCATAAATTTTATCAAAGTTTACATATACTCGAGGTTGATGTTATAGATAGTGGCTCTCAAAATTATTCGACTAGATTTATTTTCAATTATTTTACTGCTTCTGTGAATTTAAATGATAATTTAAGTAGAGAATTTTATGTTCAACAAGAATTTTTGAAAATAAAACTCATTAGTAATTCGTCATGTGTAGGATCTCTGAAGAACTAAAATACAAGTTTTTCTGTTCGTAGAATTTTCTATAGATTGCATAGAAATGATATAGAAAACAATCCTGTACGAATTGAATTGTTTTCAGCTCTTCATAATGCTTTTGAACTGAGATACATAAACTTAACGGAAGGTACTGGAGCGGTTTTTTTTTCATGTGAATTAACAGAAAAAATTGATTTTTTTTCAGAAATTATCAATTATTTCCATCTTCGATAATTCTTGTTGAAAATAAAATTCTCTACACAAATAACTATTTGGATCTTTATGAATGGTGATGACAGTTGAAAAAGATTGAAAATAAACCTGACTAGATAATTTTTCGAGCACATCAAATATAATTTATTCATGTACAAAAGATAAAAAACAACACTATTAATGTAAATATAACAAAATATATATGAATATATGTTTTTTTTTTGCATTTCGCTGGATCTTCTCATAATAGAGTTATTAATCATTTCATGTTCTATTATCTTTAATATATTTTGTTTTAGAGATGAAGATCGAAACAATATCATCTCAAGAAGATTAGAATAATGTCGAAAAGACATAAGACATTACTATACATATGAAAATCTCTGAAACCAAATAATAATTTGAACATCAACGTGTTTACAATAGTTTATAATTATCCTTTCTATAAAACTTTATATTATTTAATAAAACTAAATGTGTGTTTAGTTTGATTGTAAATTTCTTATTGTTTTTATTATTTCTTTTCTTTTTTTCTGATAAACTTCTCTTGGCTAATACATTGTACTCTTCTTGTCATCATCTCAAGTATTTTCTCAGTTCAATATTTTAAACATTTTCATATGTTATCAAATGTATAATTAAGATAAATTCTTATAAACCAAAGTCTTTATCAATTTCATATTACAATCTATCCTAATGAAATAAAAGTAGACGGTGAGATCAATGAATGAGTGAACTAAATGTACCAATCCAATAAGGCTTTGAAAATATATCCGATTCTTGTTTAGGCTAATTACAATACTTATATTATGTACATGAAGCCATTGAATACCATAATCCATTAGACAAACCATCGTCAAACATTTACAATAGTACAACCGAACAGTAACACGATTTCATGATGTATATTTGGCTGTTGCACATTTTTTTTTTCGTATAACTTACACTATATTTTGAGAGTTTTCGATTAGAAATATGAGAAAAACCGGTGTATGTAAGAACACATATTTCGAAATTGTCTCCTAGTAAAAATGAATTGATATGAAAAATTCATCTAACACAAAGTATAACTATTGATACAAGTACAAAGTAATGCATGAATGTTTTTCTATAGCAATTTTTTGAAATATTAAATTGAGTTTTAAATTATAGAACAGAAAATATCGGACTAAATTAAGTTTGAAGAAAAAAACAGTCTGTCATCTTACATAGGAAATATCATAAATTCTGAATCGTCATGAACATTAATTTATATGTAGATATGGAATGGTTTCTAAATGAATGTATTTATATGAGATTTGTGAACATGTATCTACGTTTCAAATAATATCATGAAGTTTTTTATTAATTCTTCCTTACCTTTGACTAAACCTGATGGGGCTCTGAAGGATAATGGACTCAATAACATAAGAAAAGTTTGAACTGCACCCATCAACCGTCAGTATATTACACATGTAATACATTCGTCATTCTCTTGTATTTGAAACGAATTCCAAATTGTCGAACATAATTCTTGCCTCTCTGTTTAACTTAATCATACATACCGACACACTCCAAAAATTATTTTTAATGTAAAGACTAGATTCAGATTGTTGATTTAGAGTCCGCAATAGATACACTTTAAGTTGATATAAAATCTATTTTTCAGTGTCTCATATAGTTCAAGAAAGGGTAAACAAAAGGAAAAACATTATATTTAGCATTGAAAAGTATTTTACTTCATTCTTTGCTCGAATTTAGTTCTTAATTGTTCAATGTTTTCGATTGGTAATTTACTTATAAGACACAGCTGAGGTAATCAATGAAATTATACACAGAATAAACAGTTTAAAATGAAGAAAAGATATGAAAAATGTTTACGAAATAAAAATTTTGATTTTGCATGTAGTGTTTTATTGATCATGAAATACAGGATGTGAACATGCATTTTAGTTCATTATTACATCGTTCGTTCAAGGTATAGTTTGAATGATCAATGATTCATCACAATTATGAAAAACAACCATGCACAACAACTACGTATTATTTCCTATCTGATTTTTTTTCTTCTAATGCATTTGAGACCTTGCCTTGAAAAACATCTTATTGCTTGATTTCAAAAAATTGAACGTTATAGAGATCGTATTCCATGGCTGCATATATTTTATTTTTCGTAGATGTAAGGAACGTCTGAAATACTTTGTATTGATTTTAATTACATCGAAGAAAGATGCCAGAAAAAAAATGAATATATTTTGATTTTGATTCTGGGACAGATAAGAGAGATAACGATTAATTTGCACATTGCTTATTTGTCCAATCAATCATTTTGATGATGAGATTATAGATGATGTGTCATCCCTTGTTTTCATACAAGGATTGACCCAATTGCAGTACTTTTTGTATCGTGCATTACATGTCCTAAATCTGAGAATTCTTATAAACTCTGCTTTTAACATTCTTATTAATTGACGAGGAAAGTGTCCAAGATGTCCAACTCTGATTGACTTATTCGATAGAGTATACTGAGATAAATAAAAGCCTCAAAGGGTTCGAGCCTATCGTTTATTGACGAAAAGTTATTCCTGATGAGTATTAAATCTATCTATTGGCAAATATTCAGATCAAAACCTTTCATTTTGGTTTTTTTCGAAATACTTAGCTGTCAGTAAAGTGACCATAATTCTTCGCGTGAGATATGAATGAATTGAAATGTAACTGAGCACCTCGATTACTTCCTTCATCAGCTATTTTACATCAGAATTTCCTTTTGCTAATAATAATTATGGACATGTTTTTCTCATGGATAGACCAAAAATCTATCATCATCATGGAATAAAACAAAACTATTATTACTATCATTGATAATTATTTTCACTTATGACTGTGATGAGTAATGAAAATCAATAAAAAAAGAATCAGTGAACAGTTGAAAACGACAATGTCTAAAGATAATTTAAATAAAATCTTTATTTGGATTATATTATGCATTTACCGATCACAAAACCATGCGTTCACGTGCTTGCAAGAAAAAAACGAACCATATACATTGTGAACAATATGCATAATGAATATAATTTAGATAATTATCAAAAACAAATAATTCAACACTTCTGTCAAGAATAAGAATATTACATATGAAGCTTTTTTTCTCTCAAATGAAATCACTCTATTCAGAAAAGCCTATTATATTAGATATCATTAACGCTATAACAGTTCACGAAACAGTGAGCATTTGATCAAATTTTTCAATGGTAATATTCAAAATAAAAAATAAAAACTGTGAAATCAATAATTATTTTGCCAAATAGAGCACTTTTCTTATTTGTTCGACACTCAAGTATGAATCATGTCATTTATCAGCACAAGAAACATGTACAGATAGAAATTTCATGTCTTTTCTTTTCTTAGAGAATATTTAAATTGAAAAAACAAACGAAGTACTATAGTCAACCATTCAATTTTGTAATTAGTTATAACAAACGGACAAATATGTTGCCAAATCATCATATGTTCAACACCACATTTTTCAAATCATAAATTGTTACCATCAACGATTGATCCAAAATATACAATGCAAGATTTGAACACGAATGTTAATGTTATCATGAAACCTGAGTATGGGTGTGCGTCACCATGAGGAGAATATCTACCCGCACCCCACCTACACCCATCGCTCATCCTCTCAAATAATGAACATTGTAATGCATTATTTGTGGCCAATGGAAGAAAATTCATCTCAATGCAGTGATACGTAGTTAATACCTTGAAGATATTTTACATTTGAGATCCATTCAAGTTTCAAAATGAAGAAGGAAAAACACATACACACGAATGAACAAGGAGAGGATTTTTTCATGCAATGAAATAAAGGTCTCGGCCCTTAATCAACAGACTTCATAGAGTTTAAAAAATATATTGCAGACAGACAACTGTTTTATTTACCATGTGACAGATTTTATACATTCAGTCAAGGATATTGTTTATTTAAATACCTTCGTATTTCATTTTTGTGGTTCGAACATTCAAAAAAGCTTAATAAAATATTTGTCACTGTCTTTGAGATCGATAGGCCAGTTTAGCCTCTCACTATATACATTTCAGAGCTCACTTCCTATCTGGTTTCAAGGAATTTTCTATTACATAAGAACTAAGTTATGTGTCAAAAAATGAGTGAAAAACGTCTATATATCAGAAAAAGAATTTTGAGCCAATCAAATAGCATCATCAATAAATCATTTGATAGATCGTGGATTTAAAACCCTGCGGACAGACAGACATACAGATAAATGAATGATTTATCGTCTGGCAGACATTAGACATTCAGTCTAGGGAACATGTTCAGCATTACAATACGAATTTCTGCTCTCTTTCGCAATTATTTCCTTACAGAGACAAATGTTGATTTTTTCTTTTTCGTTTTGTTTTGCGGTTACAATTGCATGCAGAGCACTGAAGAGTATTTCTATTTCAAATAAATAATACGAAATGCGTCGGCGATTTGAAACTCTGCATTTATCTTTATTTAAAAGCACATTAATTATTCTCTGATTAGTTGAATATCGGCTGAGATCGATTGATGAAAAGAGACAATTGAGAGTAGCAGATCGATTTGTTTTTCGATAGAATACGTTGTACTGAGTCGATATTTTGAATCATTTGTACTAGTATTTGCCACTTGATAATTATTTATGAAACAATTATGAAAAACAATTTTGTATTGTGGTTGTTTGTCTCACTCCCTCACCCTAATTTTATTAGATCAATATTGGTCTACAAACCTTGAAAGTTTCATTCAATTTGGAAATACTTGTGTATATTGTGGTTGAGATCCCATGGAATACCTCTGTTTTTCAGAATCTAATAGATTTCGGCATATTGATAATTCAAAATGAAGTGAAGCAGTATTTTTTTTAAAACACTATCGACAGTCGCTTGTTTATCAACTATGTTTTGTCGAAGTTGACTAACTTCTTGTTCCTGAATTTGTTTTTTTCACGCATATGTTCAGCTTGAATTGTTGCTAAATCATTTAAAATATAGCATCTAATTGTGCTTGTAATTGTTTCTAATCCTTGATGCTATTTCGTAGTGATAATGATTTTAAATTTATTTTTGTTTTATCATTTTCACTAGCTAATAAACGTTTACGTTCATTTTCTTGAATAATTTCTTCTCGAATTTGTTCTGTTTGTATACGATAATATTCTTCTAATTCCTGTGCTTGAGCTCGCGAAAGCAATTCATAATCGTCTCGAATATTCAATATAGGACGACCTAATTCTTGACGCTAAAATTCTGATATATCAAGAGTAGATGCATCTATACACAAAAAAATGATTAAATAATTTTTTAAATATTTATCAATAAGTAACGCTCATCGCTACGATTTACTTGACTCTTGAGTGAATCCAATCTAATCATTATCTATTATTGCTTGTTAGAGTCTGTTTTGAGAACTATTGCTTAATACACACGCACATACAAAAAGATTTGTAGAATATTGCTATTGATGAGGGTGTGGGTCAATAGAAAACCGACATCCACATTCAATGATAATTCTAATAAGGATTGTGATTGCCAAACTTAGAAATTCATTCAGGATCTTTGAAGATGACTTTCTCGAGACGTCCTCAGACAAATAAGAAAAATAAATTCATAAAAACACGCGAGAATTACAATGAAAACAAGGATTTCGGTATGGTCATAGGTGTAGGTGTCAGTTAGGTTTCCTGATAGACCCACACTCATATCCCAATTTTTTAGCATTAAATAATCATTTTAGTGTCGTGTTTTCTTTATTGCTTCAATTTTGTAAGGAATGATATCATTAACTATGGAAATTTTTTTTTAAATAAAACCCTGGTGTGTCTCACCGCACTAAACGCGGTTTTACATATAGGGTTTCATAAACTATATTATCAATTTGTTAAAAGTTAATGTTCGAATTGAGCTTTCATTTTAATCATTATTATTAGAATGAAAAACTAAAATAATTCATAAAACTATTAACAAGCTTGCTCGTTGTTTGCAGTTTAACATACATATTTCAATAGCGTCGTAAAATATCATTTCATGATATGTAAGTTATTTTCGCATACCATGACTGTCTTCTTAATGGAGTAAATTTCAAAGCTTGCAACGAATGAAACGGTACTTTTTATCTATGAGAAAAAAATCACACTTCAAATTTGACATTATACATTTACATTATGTACTTATGGATTTATCATCGTATACCATGCTTCTTGATTGCATTTACATAAATACGAAATTTCGAAAAAACCACCTGTTTTTCTCTTGGTAAAAACCTTTGAGAATAATGGAATTATCATGAGATAGAGTCGAATGAGCTTCAATATTTCTCACAGAAGGCATAATTTTTAAATAAAAGTATATTTAAAAACAGCACATTTAGATATTTTCAAAAAGACCTTTACATGACATCTGTCCATCTAGCTTTCAATTGTACTTAGAGTGTGGAGTGTAGGTGTGTGTGAGTGTGAGTGTTCTTGTGAGATATCAGAACATTAGCACGCACACGCACAGCTATACACTCATGGCCACACCCACACCCACATCCTGTGTTAATAATTATCTATTGTGATCAAAAATCGCATGGATATCATATATTCTATCATCCACATTTTAACTCACCCCTGTCACCCTCAAGATATAGTTATTGCTATTCTATGTCTATAGTAACAGTGTAGTTACAATTGATTTGGATTGTATAAGATTATGATACAGGTAGTCTTTCTATCAGAAAACCACATGACATAGAAGAGCAAACATACAACGAGCGAAGACGATGAGATAAAAAGCATGAATATACATGAGCCCTAACTATCCATCATAGTTTGTTCATGAATCTTCTATTTAGTTAGATCATTTTGAATAACTAGAACAGAATTAAAGCCATCTAATGATCTGTTTTAAGCAGCAGTAATACCAGTTATGGCAGCTTACCCCTCATCCTCAGGATGAAACGATCGTCGTAAGTAGCTTGAAACTGTTCTATAACCTCACTCGTCACCTTCTATCGTAGTGACTCGTTGGCCATCGGTCTCATGAATATGTTGCATAGATCAGGAATACTTACCAAAAAGCAAAGAGATTTCATCATTTCATATGCAAGAAGGAACAATAATGAAGAAAGTTTGACTAAATAATTAGCTGGAATAAATGCAAGAAAAAAAACAGTATCTAAAGTCATCGATAAGGATGAAATCGATTTGACTTTTTAGCCATATATGACGACGGATGATTGTCGAAATATGTTAATGATGTTGATGTCATGGGAATTGATGGTATATATGATCGACTCAAGTTAATAGCTAATGTCCTTGCAAAGCAGTCATTTATATATCTGATACCTATTAATAAAAGCACCAAGGAAAAGATTATTTCTTATATCTCTGTATTATAACTAATTTTATTTACCGTGTAGCGAAAAATGTCCATGATTAACAATAACTAAATGTTTTAATCGAGACCAAATATCGAAACGATCGAATTTAAAAAAGCCTTCACTTATCACAATATTATCAATATCATCAACACATTTTTTGAAATCTATTTGTTTTTGTTCGTAGATTGGTAAGTTTGACGGATCAGGAGACATCCACCAAAAATATGGTTCTTTGTTATATATTTGTTTACAAAGATTTGATAAAGAAGCTGAGAATTTTTGTAAGCACTTTAAATAGTTATTAAAGTAACTATCAGCTGAGACAGTTATTTCTTGTAATTTTTTTCTATAATGGACTAGCATAAAATTAGCAAAGGAAAATCAAATTCAAATTACTCGTTCATATCTGATGTGTACGAACAAACTATTACAACATCGATTGTTTGTAAATCACGTATATCTTTTAAAAACTTTAGAGCATCTGTTGAAATGTTATCCTTTAATAGACTAGCTAAATGTATATAAATCAGTTTTGTTGAATTATTTGGCAAAATGAATTGTTTAATATCTTGATATTCGACTGTATCAATTTTACCCTCCTGTTTTAAAGTTGTTTCACCTAAAGTTGTAGCAACAAAAAGTAACTTAATCTACGTTTTCCCTCTTAGATTATCTTCAATACAAGTATATTTTCCGTTTTGGCGCGAGGCCTCGATATAGTCCAATAATCGTCCGTATTTTAAAACTTTAGCTATATCTCGATACAATGTGCGAATGGAATGATCTCCTATGAACAAAACACTTAAGCCATTGTAGATCGTTAAATAGTCCGATTGTGGTAACATATTTGATAATACTGCTTTTGTTGATTGTTCTAATGGTTGCTTCTTTGGTGTTAATGGTGGCAATTCGATAAGATTAATCTTTGGTAATGTCGAAATACTAGGTGGTTTGTGTATAAGCGAAGGAAACATTGCAAAAAAAAGCAAAAACAAATGAGAATAATCGAAATCTGAAAACAAACGAAGAATGAAACAGCAACTTCAGTCAACTGTTAACAGTCAGAACTGCAAAAACTCCAAAAGAAATCCATTATACCAAACATCATACACAACTAAGCAAGTTTATCATAGGAGCAAGAATAGAAAATGTCACAGCATAGCACAACATAAACAACTTGTAGAACATCGAGTGTCGTTACTTGCAAATAAGATTGTAAATGAATCAAAAATTTTATTATAGAGTACTAATAAAAAATAAAATATGATTCACCATATCCTTTAAGAACCGATGAATAATTTATCATAACTATTATATCGAACTCATCGAAAGAACCAAAAAGTTCACACAACAATCAATCGATTTAAGATGTGTTATAAATTAAGCAGAATTTTATCGTAAGTCAATTGAATACATATCTTTTCTCTACTTCTTTTAACTTTTCCTAATCCTGCTCTATTCGACGGGATAGCCACCATGAACAGCCACAGAGACTATATGCGCGCAACTCAGTTAATTTATGAGAATGCTATTGACGATTGTGTAGTGGTATTTGTTCGACGAATGAATTAGATACAAGATGCTGAACCTCATAGAGAAAAACCGGACAAAGAACAGAAGTAGTCACTTAGCATAGAGACAGATCACACATAATCATGTTTTGGGCGTGTAATTATCTTTATGGTCGGAAGGGATCCGCCGCCATTGGATGACGCCTTCCGCAGCACATCGATATAAAGATCGATGTCTGTAACTACAAAGAAGAAAAGATTTTGTCCCAAAAAATGTACAGTTATGAATCCAATAAAACTAGACGAAGAAATATCTAGTTCCACTGAATCAATAAACGGGAACTATACTATTATTCGACTAAAAAATGAGACCGAACAGGCTGAGATGTAACGAAAACGGTACTTACCTTGACAATAAAAAAAAACAGTGCAAATAGAACGTTGATTTAAATGGCTTGGGCGAAAATCTATAACTAAGAAAAGAGATCAAAATATTTAGGGAATTTAAAAAAACCCTTTATTTCTTACTTAGTAGATATACAATGACTGTCTGTTCGTAATAATCAATAATATGAACGAAATCTATAATGACATTATAATACAGATTCAAAAGATCGACTTTGAAGCTACAAAATCTATGGTGAAACTATAGTACGTTTTTGTTTACTTACCTAAGAAATCAGTTATGATACCTGTTTACTAATGAAACGTTACTGGTGTTTCACGAGGCTATAAATAGAGCTGTAATGGTGCCCTATGTAATAGATGTAGTGTCCTATGTATTAGATGCAGTGACCTATGTAATAGCTGTGATGTCCTATGTATCACAGTAACTATATATACTGCTGTTTTCAGATAATTGATCATTTCGTCATTATACACAACAGCAAGCAATAGTCCCAACAGGTATACAACAACAAGCACAGCTCCAACAGCTATACAATAGCAAGCAATAGCCACAAAACCTATACAACAGCCACAACAGTTATACAACAGCAACAGCTTCTTCAATAGGTATGCTTATTCCCTCGACTGAAGGGAGGGTCATACGAAAAAAACTCACAATGCGTTTGTCTGTGTGGGTGTGGTGGTGTGGGGTGTGAGTATTTCCTAAAACTACATCCGCATCCGCATCC